AAGGTGGCGGTCCCTGGCAGTCACCAGGAACCTGCCGTGCTGGCTTTGGTAGGTTTCCAACACCAAGAAAAGAGGCTTGGAAGGATTCTGTTCTTCAGACTTCAAGTGAATATGAGAGCCGTCTTGGAAGGCCCCTTCCGAAGGCGCCTGACGCTAGTGCCTGCATCCCCGCCCAACTACTGGGAGGATTCACAACTGAAGACATTGTGGAAGAGTCGGGGGGGGGGGGGAAGTGATGAGAGAACTCACAGAAGTCCCTGTTCATCTTTATTCCCCTCGTGCACTGAAACAGCAGAGGCTCCTGATGACATTCTCTGCCCCTTAATAAGAGGATCTGGCTGACATGCTTCCATATCCCACCCCTTGCACACTGTTTTGCTTTGCTTCAGACACCATGGATACCAAGAGGCACAATTTTTCCAAGGCTCGTGCTCCATCCAGCTGTTCAGTGCCTTGTGGATTTATGATCTAGAGGGCCTCTGCCACAGCCCAGAGGCACCGGTGGTTTGCATTATAGGACTCCATATTTCCAGGTTCTAGAAAAGGGGCAGAGATGTAAGTGACATACTAGAATTTTGCATAAAAGGAACTTAAAGCTTGAGGGGTGCTTTGCTTTATGCTTTCCTTCCTTTCCAGCATCAGGCCTCTCCGCACTCAATTCTTGCTTGAGTTGAATTGGAGCAGCTTCTCCAGTGACAGAAACACCAAAAATCACCAGGGGAAGGTGTTCACATGCAGATTTCTGGGCCAGATTTAGATCAACTGCGGGAGAATCTGCATCTTAATGAGCTGGGCCCCAAGAGCCTGCATTTTAATATTAATAGGCCAGGGCTAAGTAATCTAAATTTGACCTTTTTAAAAATGAGAAATATAATCAGAAGGGTGTATTCAACAGTGCATGTAATTCAAATTGTACTGAAGCAAATATCCGTGTGCAAACAACCGCCCAGGTCAGGAAATAAAGCCCCGGTGGCCCTTGGAATAAAGCCCTGGCAGCACCTCTCCCATCACGCCTGCCCCCACCCCACCTCCGTAAAGCAGTCCACTGAATTTGGAGGTACTCAGTCCCCTGCCTGTCACTAGCGACGGGTGGTCCTCCGTACCTCCAGAACAGTGCACTGTTTGGCTTATCCAAACATCAGAGAGAAGTGGGCCCGTTCCCACCACATTACATCTCACTTCCTTGCTGGTGGTTGTGCTCCCTGTGTTGCTGCACTTAGCTGCTCTATGTCCCTTTTCATGGCTGTATTGTGTTCCACAGCACAAAAACAACACAACTGATGGGACCCCCACTCCCCCACCCCTGTCGTTCATGGGCTTCTCTTGCATCCCGGCTCTGAGGTAAGTATTTCCATCTGGCCTTTTGTTGAGGAGGAAAGAGCAGGTCAAAGACGTCGAGTGATTTAAGAGCCCAGTGCAGGGGTTCTAGAGCCTGTGAGCTTCTGCTGGCGACGGGATCGCTGTGTCAGCTCCTGCATGTTCGTCTCTGTGCCTTGGTTTCCTCATCTGTAAAATGAAAATAATAGGGCCTGTTCCCATGCTGCAAAAATTCAGTAACACAAATGCATGTGAAATAATTAAAACTTCGCCCCTTCAAACATTTTCAGAAATGGAAACTGGGACTTCCATCTTCCTTCATATTCTTTGTGTGCTTTAAACTTCCCATGAGCAGGGGCTACTTCCGTGACCCATTAGTGAAACACAGACCTTTACCCCTGCCGGTTCATACTCTTAGCCTCAGTCGCCGAAGGTCCACTAACAAGCATTTGTGAAGTGACAACCAGGCCAGCCCTCCTCACAAAGGCAGAGCTGAGTATGGTCCTCGAGCTCTTTCCAGCAGCCAATTCTGACCTGGCTCAGCCACCTAGAGGGATTCTCTGACTTCTCACTGCCCTCTACCAAAAGGGCACAGACAGCCGCACAGGAGGCAGGGGGCCACCAACGCCAGGACAGGGATGGCACAAGACTCCAGTCAGGCAACCCAGGTCCTGGTTCCATCCCTGCCAGTATTTGAGGGGCTAGCCCATGTCTCTCTGGGCTACGGTGCCCTTAGCAGTAAATGGAGGGACAGAGGGCTAGACAAGGAGAGCACCAAGATCTTTCTCAGTGAATTCCCTGACCCTTGAGGCTTTTGGCTAAAGCTGCTGGGGTGCTGGGGAAATCAGCTTGGAGGTTGTTCTCTGGCACACCTGTCTTCCTGAGAAGTGCCCCAGGAGGGGGCTGGCCTGGTACAGGGAAAGCATTCAATGGGCCAGTGGCAAATAAGGGATCCATTCTCCACCAAGATGAGTCCTGCTGGGAGTGGTTGCCCACCTATGCCAACGAGTTCATGACAATTAACTAACACTCTTGTTTGGAAAGCGATTCCTTCTAACACACAATGTGACTTCCAAGGAGCCTCATAATGCAACCCTGGTTGCTTCTTCATCTAAGGTCACTCTGGCCCTAGCACTGTGAAGGAAGCTGCTAACGCTCATGGTCTGTCCCTTCCTTCTTCCCTCAGCCTCACAACTGGGTGTCACCATCTTCCTGGTGAGCTGCAAGGCCGAGGGCGAGGGGCGTTGCAGTCATTGGTGCCACAATTCACAGTGGCCTGGGTCCAGCTTAGATAATACATCCCATCACCCTCAACGCCCCCTCACTTCCTCTCGGATGGATATGTAAAGCATCTGGGAAGTCAACAGCTGCTGCCTTCTACACCAGAGAGGGAGGTGAGGTAATCCCCATACATAGTCCAACAAGTGCCTCGGGGTGAAAGGGGCTCTGTGTGGAGGAGAGTGTGTTACTGTATTTCTCTGGACTTCCAGGAGCACTTCGTTGATGGCCTGGCACTGAAGAGTGACAGAAAGTTAACCGGGGTTTCTCGTCTCCACAAAAGCATCTTTCATTCCACAATCAACCTCATATTGGAAGGAAGATTTCACTGTACAGTGAGCAGAGACAAGAAACTCTGTTGCGGTCCCTGGCCCCCCCGACTGCCACCCACTTCTGAGGATTCCAACCGTCATGTGACCCCGAAGGTTCAGGAGACAGGCCCACGGAGTCTAACAACGGCATTGCTAGTATGTTTAAGGATGGAGAAGTGGGATGACACTCAGCTGTGACTGGGGTTGGCCCTGAAAGAAGAGGCCTGGTCACCTGTGCGGATGGCCCTCTGTGTGACCCACTGGTGCCTGTCAGAGGGGAGGCATCCATGAGAAAGGTGGTTCCCGTCTAATTCTTAGCAGGGAAAGAAAAGGGCAAAGTTGTCCTGAGTGACCCAGCTAGGTGTCAGGCACTCGGCAACTGTGGGAAGTGAAGCTCCATGAGGCATGAGAGGCAGTGGTGGAGCCCCTTCCCCTCCAGACTCTACCTCCCCAATGCAGCCCCCCGCCCCCGGCTGCCTCCAAGACACGGTGCTTACCCACAGCACGCTCTGGAGGATGAGGACGTGGAAGAATGCTTCTTGCCATTTAACTTCACAGAAGGTGGCAATGGCAACATCAAAGTCAGCGCTGTTTTTACCTCTTGTCGAAGTCAAAATGGCTGGTGCCCATGACTCCAGAGCCATCTCTGTGGAACAGAATTGAATCTGGGGGAGTTCCCTGGGGCGAGCATGGGATCTAGGATGGCCTTCTGTTCTTTCTTTGACTTGGAAATTCTTGTTAATAAATATTACTTTTCAAAAACTTTTTTTTTTAATCGTACAAGAATCCTACACGTTACAGTAACTATTCTCTCTGGATGCCGGGAGTAGTTCTGCTATATCCCTCAAGACCAGGTATATCTGCACATGCCCTTCTCTGCCCCCAGACTGCTTTCACCAGAAATGTTGCATGGGGTAGAGCTACATCATCTAAGTGTTTCACTTTTCTAAATTTAACTATTTGTGCCAGGGTCTGTCATGCCACTAACCAAGCATATGCCCAAGAAGAAGTGTGAGCAGGGAAAGTAGGGTACGGTTTCAGTTCTCATGTGATTCAAGTGTTTAAAGAAACACTTTTCTTCTAAGTCACTAAATCCAAGGCAAGCACTTCATCTGGAGCTCACACAGGGACATGGGGAGTGGCTGCCAGGCTGAGAGACACTGGGCGTGCTATTATAGAACAGCATGTGCAGCTCCAATATGACAACTTCCTAGAGTATTTAAGAGCATTCGCGGGGGGCCTGGGTGGCTCAGTTGACTGTCTGCCTCTTGATTTGGGCTCAGGTCGTGATATCAGGGTCGTGAGATCAAGCTCTGCCTCGGGCTCTACACTCAGCTCAGTCTGCTTCAGATTCCCTCATCCTCTGCTTCCCCCCACCCACTCTCTCTTAAACAAATAAGAAAATAAATAAATAGGTAATAAAAAGAACTAAAAAAAAAAAGAGCCATCTAGACTAGATGCCACTTTGTCTTAAGCTTGACATGGGCCCTAAACCCTAGTAAAATGACTCTACTGGTCATATGCTGGGCAAATTTTTTTCCATTTAGTTTATCTTGGGAGTTGTTCTGCATCAGTATCTACAGATCTGTCTTGTTCTTTACGTGCTTACTGCAAGCTACTCCAGAGCAAGAGTGTAGGGGATATTCTTTGGAAAGAGTTCTATCTTCACAACATAAAGGAAAAAAATATATTTAAAAAAATAAACTAAAAACAAATTTACAAACCAAGAATATAGTATTTTATTCATTTCTGGATTATGAGTATTACACAGCATATACATATATTTAGATAATATATAAAACAATGAATAAACCGTAGGAAGAAATATTGGTCTGAAGTTGCCTTATGGGACATCTTCAAATCTGTAAGTTCGTGGTAAGTGTATCTCCCCACACACTGAGGCAGGCAGCAGGATAAACTCCACCATTTATGTTCCAAAGGACGGCTTATTCTTCACTGTACTTACAATGCAATTATGGCATTATGGCATGGTCACTGGTGTCCACAACAGGGGACACCAAGTAATAGATAAAAGAACCACAGCACAGTAAACTAATAGAAATATTTGTTTTTTGTTGGTTTTTTTTTTTTTTTTTTTTGCATTGTCCTCCAGACAGTTTCCTTTTTAAACTAAGAGCCATGTCCAGGGGCTATCCCTTGAGTTGCATTCCAGTTATTGCTGGAGAAAAAGAAACAAACAGAAGAAGCATCAGTTTAAGTTATCAGAAAATAGATGGTCAGTGCCAATGACAAGAAACACCCCCCTCCAGACTCTGGTGACACTGCAGGTGACACTGGACTGTGCGGAAATGCACAATGTTCAGCAGCAGTCAGGCATGTAAGCGGCTGCCATTTTGTCAGAGGATACCGATGGGCCGCTGAAGAGGTTCGGATGGAAGACATTCTCCAAGGAAGGCTTATGAGCAGGAAGCAGGGAGGAGTAGGACCACCTTGCAGAGGTGGGGACAGCAGTAACAAAACATTTCACAGGACTGATCCTGATTCAGTGGTGATGGTGGAAGGAGACCTTAGGAAGATCTTAGGATGAAAAGTACTCCAGCCCCCATGTCAGCATGGAGAGGCTCTGCGGCTGACCTCAAAAGAGCACACTTTCCGGCTTCCCCAACTCACCATCTGGCCTCCTCCAAGGAAGGCCCCCTTACCTTTGCTTTGTTCTGAACTGGGAGATACAGTTTGAACTCTGCTGGCAGTTCATCTTCTGAGTAGAGTCTGTCTGAGAAGTAAACCCGTCGGATGCGACAGTTTGCATGAATCTGTGGGCGCAAGACTTATTTTAAGAAACAAAATATGGGGATGCCTGGGTGGCTCATTTGGTTAAGCCACCGCCTTCGGCTCAGGTCATGATCACAGGGTCCTGGGATCGAGCCCCGCATGGGGCTCCTTGCTCAGCAGGGAGCTTGCTTCTCTCTCCGCCTCTGCCTACCGCTCTGCCTGTGTGCTCTCTCTCTGACAAATAAATAAATAAAATCTTTTTTAAAAAAAGCAGGATGTATGACATCCTTGTCTTTAAAAAAAAAAAGGAAACAAAATATGATTGGCCTTCCTCTTTTCTTGCTTCTCCTGGAGCCCCTCCCATGATGCTGTCAAAGCTTCCTCTCTTTGGCATCTCCTCAGCATGGCCTGGGGTGGGTTCAGGCAAGAGGGATATTTTGCTTGCTATGCTCTCCCACTATATCTGAGCAGACCCCTGAATGTGTCCTGGATCTTTCTGAGCCCTCTGGACAGTGACTTGGGCCCCTCAGCCAGAAAGCCACACTGTTCTGTCACAAGAGCCACAAGCCAGCAGCGGGCAGAGCACACTCCCCTCTCCTGTCCGGGCCTCCATCAGGAAAGGAGCTAGTACCTGCACTCTTAGGGTCTCAATATAATTTGTGCCGTACGCCCGCCTAGTGAAGTCTGACAGATTGAACTGAATCTGGTTCCAGCCATCATCCAACCGCATGGGCATGGTACAGATGAAGGGTTTGACTCGGGTGGTACTCTGGTAGTTACTCGCCCGAAACCGCCGACGCACATTCTTGTCATCTAGTACCTATGAAACACAGAAAAAGAGCCATAGTAACTCTACTTTGGAAGAAGGAGACAACCTTGGTGACGCAAGGGACTGAACTCCCACAGCCTGGTTTCCCAAGGCTGAGGCCCAAGGGAGAATAAACAGACCAGATACAGGTCACACTGGATGCAGATGGCCCGGAAGCAGCAAGTTTATCTTGTCAGTTGCTGAGACATCAGCTGCTTTAGGGCACATGACACAGCCGAGGGCCCACAGACCATAGAATGATTTCATAAACATTCTTCCATTTGAAAAATCACAAGTACTACAACGAAGACCAACAATAACCAGCAGCGAACAGACACACTCTAACCTTCAAGCTTTGCGATCCCATAGCTATCGTTCAGACTTCCTAAGTGCTTGCTGCTGCTTTAAAAACTTGGCATTGAAGTTTGATTACTAATACCAAATTTATGTCATAATAATAATGGCTGCACCAAGTGTCTAGCAGAGGCAGAAAAGACACACAAAAGAATAAGTATACTTTCCTAGAGCTACTTTCTCTTGCAAGTTGACAGGTTATCCCTCTGGTAGAGCTAAGAGTATACACAAGTCCATCTACTAACCTGTACTTCAAAGGTAAAATATTTCTTCAGATTTTTGATAATCATGACGAGGAAGGGAAGTTTAATCCCCAGCGTCTTCTTTGGGTCTGCAGGACACGTGATGTATGTGGTGCTGCAGAGAGAGGAGACACTGATAAACACACCGGTTGCCTTTTCCTCTGTGGGACACACCACAAAAACACGTGATCCAAAAGGTAAACTGGAGAGTAGATCTAGAAGATCCAGACACATCATCCAATAATCCCTCAATCCCGATGCTTTAAAAAAAAGAAAAAATACTGGACTCCAAAACACAAGCTTCACACATGGCTAGACATCAACAAGAAAATACCTGAAAAACAAAGCCTGGCTGGCAAGCTGAGCAATTTCCTCCAGTGAAGACGGCTCCCCTCTGGTCTAAGGAGCCATCCAATAATAGAAAACCCAAACTAAGACCACAATAACTAGGAAAACCGCACTGTGGCCCAGGTCACCCACTGGATGATTAGTGCCACCCCTCCACGCATGTCCACATGCCTTGGTCAAGTATTAATAATAATATAACTAACCCACAGCACTTACTATGGGCTGAGCAGGCGCTAAATGTGTTTACACACAATTCACTTACTCAATCTTCACAATAACCCCATTATCCCTATTTTACAGGTGAGGAAACTGAGGCCTGAGGGCTTAAGTAACTTGCCCAAGGCAAGGTGTGAGCAGCAGAGCTGGATCCCCACCAGGTCATCGCCCCACGGTCTGTGCTCTATGAACCCCTACCATGCACTGCGTCGCCAGCGCAGTGTCTCTGGGCGAACAGAGGGACTGCCTACCTGACATTTGTTCCTTCAATCTCTAGCACCAGGGACTGGATGTCATTATCAGTGATTCTTTTGATGTGGCCATTCCGTACCTACAATGAAGAAAATTAAACTGATCAGTACTGAAATATTTGGCAATAACTTTGTTAAGATTTTGAAGGCCAAATGGAACCATTTAAAGGAGACCACAGTAGCCCTCGAGGCATGACAGAACCGTGTGACATGGCATACTGAGCTTATGTGCCAGCAAGCCATGATATTCCCTCTCTACAGGGTCCCATCAGCCAGCACAGGAACTGCAGGTGAGCTGGCAATCCATCCGCCAGGACAATGTTGTACACACTGGGCACGAGGGACACTCATCTACATTCTCTGACTTAGTCCAAACGACAACCAAAATCACTAGGTAGCTGGTATTTCACAGACGTGGACACTGACACCCGGAGAACACAAATGAGGATCCCGAGAGAGTCAGGATGAACGACCAGGCTTTCCACAGCCCCCGCACTGCCTGACGCACCCTCGCCAGAAAGGACGAATGCTGGGTGCCACTGAGAAGGAGGGTGGCAACCAAAACAGGAAAGCATTCCGCCCTCAGTATGGAGCATCATTCTATCTTCTACAATGCTCAGTACTGTGCTCCTACTTCCCGTTTCCCTACCTTCTGTTCCCTAAATTCCCGTGTTGTTTTTTTTTTTTAAGCTGCTTTCTTTCTTTTTTCTTTTTAATTTAAGTTCTAGTTAGTTAACACAGTGTAATACTGGTTTCAGGAGTAGAATTCAATGCATCACTGCACTGGGGGGATACGACCCCCTGTGTCATCACAACAAGTGCCCTCCTTAATGCCGTCACCATCTAGCTCATCCCCACCCACTTCCCTCCAACAACCCTCAGTTTGTTCTCAATCGTTAAGAGTCTCTTAAATTTCGGGGTGCCTGGGTAGCTCAGTGGGTTAAAGCCTCTGCCTTCGACTCAGGTCATGATCTCAGGGTCCTGGGATCCAGCCCTGCATCAGACTCTCTGCTCAGTGGGGAGCCTGCTTCCTCCTCTCTCTCTGCCTGCCTCTCTGCCTACTTGTGATCTCTGTCAAATAAATAAATAAAATCTTTAAAGAAAAAAAAAAGAGTCTCTTAAATTTCAACTATTTTTTTAAAAAATATTTTATTTATTTATTTGACAGAGACAGCGAGAGAGGGAACACAAACAGGGGGAGTGGGAGAGGGAGAAGCAGGCTTCCTGCTGAGTAGGGAGCCCAGTGTGGGGCTCAATTGCAGGACCCTGGGATCATGGCCTAAGCCAAAGGCAGACATTTAATGAGTGAGCCACCCAAATGCCCCTAAATTTCAACTTTCTAAAGTAAGAATTCAAGTCTCATCTTTGCCATGCACAGAAGCCTTCTTTAGCATTTCATCCCACACCGACCTCTCTTCTTTATGATTTGTCTGTCTGGCTCATGTAGCCTAGAGGTCTTAATTTAGCACCTCATCCCACATTGTCTTGTACTGTCTGCTGCATATGTAGGAGGTATAATATGGGGAGAGATCAATACTCAATATGGATTTCCCTTTTCAAAATAATTCAGGAAAGCAGAATTAACTTCAAGCTCTAAACTCGGAAGCACCTAACATGGACGGGGCAGAGAAAGGCACAGGCATTTTCAACACGGGGCTGGCCTATTAGGGCTGAATGTATTCACAAATGAAAAAGATCTACCAGCTTTAGAACAGTATGCTCCAAAATCATGTAGTCTTTTTCCAGGTATAGTGAAAATGGCTGTATTGGCCTGTCATGGTCAATGCCTCAATCCTTTGGCTTTCCACTGGGCTTGCACATTAAGAGAGCAGTGTCAAGTCTGACAGTTGCATTTTTCAAAACTGCTCATTAATAATATGGCATTTTGTGTTTAGACCTCAGTATCTATGACCTCTGTTACTATGAATTTGATCCACTTACGGTGTGCTTGGTATTCCCATGTGAGATCAGATATTACTACTGCCCATCTCCTCCTGAAAGATGCAACTGAGTCTTGCCTCCTCGAAAAAGTCTAAGCTCAAAGGTAGGGATCAAGTATTAAGCATCATTTGTATCTTCTACAATGCTTAGTACTATGCTAGGCATAAACTAAGCATTCAAATATTTGCTGACTTCTGGAATTTGTCACCCTGAGAGTTGGCAAGGATGAATAGATTCAAGGAGGATTTTTTAAAAATTCCTGGATAACACATCCACCATGGACTATTATAGGAAGCCAGAGAGCCTGGGGTATGTCACAAAGCCCGGGAAGCTGCCAGCGTGAAGAATGCTTTCCCACAAATCAGCCTTTGGTGCCCATTATCAGAGACAGAATGCATGGTGGACGGGCCCCAGATCTCTGCCAATGCAGCATTTCTTAGGTTCTTAAGACACAAATGTCACATTGAAGTGCTTCTCAAACAAAGCTGGCGACACCCAATGCCCTCCTGCTTCGAATTCTGGGCCTCTTTCCCAGGGAGATTAAGAGCACAAAGCCCTGGGTCTGTGTACCACATGCCAACACTGCCCACCTCATCCCCCATATAAACACTCTGGCAATATTCACGAAGCAAAAAACACGAAGTAGCAATATTCCTCCTCTGTTTGCTAGCCCACAGCTGCTGGGGAAAATCAAGCCGACTTTTCGGTGAAGGAGGAATCAAACAAGAAATTATTTCCATTTCCAAATAACATGATGCAGTCACATTGCTAAGAGCTGCCAGTATTCCAACAAGACACAAACACTAATTTTATAACATACCTCTAATTGTTCTAATATAATTATAGTTACATCTAATATAACTTCATTCTTTCTTTAAAAGGTACATAATGCAACATCAAACAGATGGTTAACTTGAAAAGATTAAGGGCTAAAGGACAACTAAAAGGCAACCTGTTGCAATTGACCCAACACTGCTTAAAAGCATGGCCTCAAATCTTAGGTCTTCTGAAGGTCTCTCCTAGCACAATGAGAATTATCTATCAGCTCCAGAAAGCCCAGCCAGATTTCACAAGGAAGAAATGTTAGGAAACTTGCTTCTGCCCATCTCAAAGTTTACAGCAGATGACTTCACTCCAGCAAATGTGGTTATTCAAGTCTTTACAGAAGAAAACAATGCCTTACATTGCACGCAGAAGCCAACAGACTGGAAGTCAAAACAGACTTGGTGTATTCTCTTCTGCTTTTACCCCAGAGGCAAGCTCATTTTTAGCTAGACTTTCAATAACTTCCTAAAGAGAAATTTCTCTCAGCACACATCAACCACCACACTCATAGACTTAATTCTTACAAAATTAATTAACGTAGTCCATAAAACAAGAGAAGTCAGGAAAAAAGGCAGCTTTTTCAAAGGAATGCCACCAGTCTCTCTGGAGTTTTAAGTATTCTCCTATCACGAGCTGCCAGAGCTCTGAAATCAAATTAAGTTGATTTGTTAGTGAATTATGATTTTTCTCCTTTATTAAGTCAAATACACACTGGAAAAATACTCACTGCAAATGCTCACTGGAAAAGAGGGGTGGGGTGGGGTGGGGGCGCAATTAACCAGAGATAATAAGCACTTAAAGGAAACCTCCTCAAACCTCTCTAGGTTCTAAAATTAGGATCAAAGGGAAAAGGAGTGGACAGTTTGGGGCAAGTCCTCCCAACCACCCTCCCTGGCAATCTGGCTGTCACCACCTCAAATTGTAAAGGTCTTCCAGGAAGCCACCCCCTCCTCCTCAGTCCAGCTTCTGACAAACACATATAACAAGATACATGGCCTCAGAAAGCATTAACTTCCTTTCCTCAGCTCCTTCCAGTTCAGAGGTCGCTAAGCAGGCCTGGCTTTGAAATGAAGACAAAATGAACTGGTCAGCATTTATTGCTCACGGTGGAAGTGGGTTTATTCTACTTCCCTCTCTAAATGAGAAAGTGCCAATTGTTGACTTGTCAATTCTTTTTTATTTTATGACACACTCCCACTATCAAGGTGTGGGCTACAAGTGTTTCATTCCTCCAAAAAATAAACAAAGCCAATCTTTCCCCCCCCCCCATGAACTCCCTACCCCCACCTGCCCCACCCCCCACATCACCACCCCCAAGCTATGAGCCACAGAACCCAGGCTACTAGCTATTACAAATGAGAATGGTTCTCAGCCCCTGCAGACAGACACCAGGAAGGGAACCTTCAAGCCCTTCTTGCAATCACTCTCGCAGGCTTTCCATGGTTGCTGGGGCAACTAATAAAGAACAGTGATTTTTTTTTTTTTTTTTTTTTTCAATGTAAGCTCCAGGGAGGAGGGTCAAGCTGAGGGGAAAAAAGTACTCCTGGGATAGGGAGGAAGCTGGCCAATGCTCCACATTTCTTCAAGTGTTTTAAAAATAACACATGAGTTGTATGCATTCCCTGCCCCCACCTTTCATTTCTCTGGCTCCACCCACTTATCCTGGCGGACAGCTGAGCCCTCAGCCATCTGGCATCCTAGTCTTAATGACACACGTTCCAATTTACATTAAGCCATTAGAGCTGTCCATTTCAGCAGGAAAGTTTCTGCTGGCAGCTAAGGGCTGGGATCTAAGTCTGAAAGCAGGCAGAGGGAGACCTCTGTGGGGAGAGCTGGGCATAGCTCTGCCTCAAGGCTTGGGCTTTGCAGGCTCCAATGGGTCAATTAAGTGCACTGCTAACCAGTCTCCCTAGCAATTCCTTGCAAGGGCAAGTATAATCAAAACTTATGCCTTCGCCCAATTATAGTAAAAGCTGTCACTCCGAATAATAAACATCATCAGACTGATCCAGGGAAAGTCTTCCAAACCAAACCAAACCAAACCAAACCAAACCAAACCAAACCAAACCACCAAACAAACCGTTGTACTACCTTCCTGCCCAAATGCCCTTGCCTCTATGCTACTGGAAACTGCAGCAGTTTAACAAGGTACCGGTAAGGTTTGTTAATTTAAAACTGGGTATAGAGGGATACCTGGGTGGCTCAGTTGGTTAAGCCGCTGCCTTCAGCTCAGGTCGTGATCCCAGGGTCCTGGGATCAAGTCCCGCATCAGGCTCCTTGCTCAGTGGGGAGCCTGCTTCTCTCTCTGCCTCTGCCTCGGCCTGCAGCTCTGCCTGCTTGTGTTCTCCTGCTGGCGCTCTCTCTCTCTTTCTCTCTCTCTCTGACAAATAAATAAATAAAATCTTTAAAAAAAAATAATAAAACTGGGTATAGAAACTACCTTTCTGGAGACAGTTGATTTTTAAAATTGGGAACAGGGGAAATAAATAAATAAAATTAGGAACAGGGAATGGGAGTCTAATACTATCCAGCAACAACCACAAAGTCTGGTTCTAATATTTAGCTTTGGAACAGGCAAGGATCAGCAGCAGCTGAAAGACAAGGTGAGAGGCAAGAAAGGCAGAGAAGCTGGTATGAATTAACATTCTCATCTAGTAAACTTTTAGCATATGAGACTTAGATTTATATGTGAAATATGAAAACTGTATGTTTTATATAGGCATAAATGGGAATAGAACCATCTGGTATTTTCTTTACAAACCAGAAGTAATGTCTACATTAAACAAAAAAGTCCTTTAGTAAATGTAGTATTTGCTGGTCCCAAAAGTTAAGGGAACATCAAGAAACCCCTAATTTCTCCGCAGCTGAGGTCTTGGGGCTCCTGGGTGGTACAGTCGGTTAAGGTCCAGACTCTTGGTTTCAGCTCAGGTTATGATCTCAGGGCCGTGGGATCAAGCCCCACTTCCGCCTCTGGCTCAGCGGGAAGTCCACTTGAGACTCTCTCTCCCTCTGCCCCTCCCCTCTGCCCTCCCTCTCATGCTCTCAAATAAGTAACATTTTTTTTTTTAATTGCAGAGATCTCTGTCAGGAAGATTAGAGTGTAGCCAGGCATACAGACTTTCAGAAGCTAATTTCAAGTATGAGGAGTCTGATGAAAAGGAAGTAGAGGTTCTCTAAGGGGATACAAATGAACTTAACCTGGAGGGACAAGTGGATATAAACTAATGTAACCTGAGGAAGTGCCTTTGCACTGTGACCTAGAGACTAATGAAGAGTGGCAGGGTGGGTCCCAGCAGAGGGACCAGCAGGTATAGAAGCCTTGAAGGTTCAAGAAGGGTTTCAGTTCAGTGGGAGGTCACTGCTAAGGTGAGGAGCCTGGGGGATGTGAGCCTGGAGAAGCAGTGAAGCGGGCACCAGACTATGTGCTGTGAGGCCTAAGAGCCATATTAAGGCTTTGGGACTGGGAAAGCCCTGGTACAATGACAAAATTATCCTAATTTCTGAAGTCTGACTTTACTGCACTTCCTATTCCTCAGCATCAGTTACAGACTTACTTACTCTTGAGCAAATTCCTCAGTTCCCCACCCTATTTAATATTGTATGCCATAACTCTGCTGTCAAGCATTTCTTATATACATCTTCATTTAATCTCCATAATCATGGGAGGCGGTAGCATCATTACAAAATGAGAAAACTGAGTAGGTAAGTACTTGCCCGAGGTTACACAGCATGGGAGAGAAGGCAGACCCAGGACTCAAATCCACTGTCCCAACTCCAGCCCTGGGGTTTCAAGGTAAAATACTTTTCTTCCCCTTAAGGAACTGGTAGTCTAGTGGGAAATACACAATAAACTGGCAACCGCCATAAGTGTGCTGTAGAGGGCCACAGGTGCACAGAGGAGACCTAACTTAAGCTCCCAGTGAAATAATGTTTAAATTAAGATTTGAAATATGGAATGGGGGGAGGTAGTATGAACTTCAAGGAGTGTAGGATAAACGCAGGTGTTACAAATATTAGTAACCACACCCGTGAAAATGGAGTTTGTCAATTCACTGGTATTAGGAATATAGCATTCACTCCTCACATTCATAAGGAGACACAGAGCCTCAACAGAAGCCAAACCTAATTTTTCCAAGATTATTCTTCACAAAAAACAAATATAGAAATTCTGTCTTCATAAACTCGGAAGGAGAACAGTAAAGTTTGTGAAATCAAAATAGTAAAAATAGCCATATGTACCTACTGGCAAAGGTCAGGGCCATTTCTAGATAATTGTAGGCAATCCATCCCTCCCTCTAATAGACTTTGCCTTTACTACAACTTTGCCTTACTCCCTGAGAGCAGGGAAAATGTCGTCTTCTCTCTTCTTATCTTCCCAAATCTACATAGTGCCAGTGATTTAACTGTGGCTCAATAAATCTTTGGTAAGTCTATCAATTCCCAGTGTTTCCCCAACTGGGTTGGATTCCCGGCACTTCCTGAGGACTTTGTTAATATAGCCGAGAAAAGGCACACATACAACAAAGCCTACGGATCTGACCCCAAACTTGCCATTTTCCTTCCTTACCTTTTCTTGCCCCAGGGAAAAAAATTCACCCCTAAACACTTTTCAGTCTAAATAGGAAAAGTAGAAACATAATTAACTTTTACTATTACAAGAACTTTGCCTAAAATGAGTGTTACTCGAAATGTTTTGTCTGTTTAATTTATTCTATGTAACCCTGCCAGTTGTTCTAATGTTTTCACACGTGTTTATGTCATTAGGGTACCATCTGACCTCTAGTGGCGTTGTTAAGGGACACAGTGCACCATGGTTACTTTGCTTTTATGTTCCATGTGTAAACATGTTGACTAATCAAAAAGCTGCATTTGAAAAATAAAACACACTACAGAAGACCAAGCTCCAGAAGGGTTAAAATGGACAACCCCGGTAAGTTTCACCTACTAGAAATGCTAAGGTCTCACCACCCCTGGAATTTTTTCAGGGTTAGTAAATTCTCTGACCTGCTCTGTAAACCCCTCTTAGATTAGGTCGCATTCTCTAGTTCGATTGCCTCATACTGACACTTTTGTTACAACTCCATGTTCAGTGGCACACAAGGCTACTCTCTCCAGGACAGTCCATAACTAAGTCAAGCCACATCCTTACAAAGTTTTCAGGTACATTCACTCCAAGCTCTCTTTGCAGAGATGTGATTTAGAGTTTACAGTGTTTATTATAATGTGAACAAAACCATGGAACTGAAAAACCTCAGTAACATAGGGGAAAAAATTAAAGAACTGCTTTCCTGTGTAATACTCTTGGTATTAGCCTTAACTTGTGGATAGAAGCACTGTGAAAGAAGAAAGCTGGTCAGGTTTTTCAGATAAGCAAAAGGCTCAAACAACCCACTATACTCAGATCTTTCAACTATCTTACAAAAATGACATTAAGAACATACCACCCTCAATGCTTCTTTGGAAATGCAGATATCCCTAGTGATGACAGGCATAAGGCTATCTGTGTTCTCTCTCAATCTCTAGGTGGCCCAAAATGCTTATCTGGGGATATGGGAAGACAAAGATTTGTTCTGAGATGAAATCCAAGATTCTTGACTTCATTACCGATAAACTGCTTATGTAGATGATTCCACATCCATCTCTATAAAAACACCATTCAAGGGGCGTCTGGGTGGCTCAGTGGGTTAAGCCTCTGCCTTCGGCTCAGGTCATGATCCCAAGGTCCTGGGATGGAGCCCCACATCGGGCTCTCTGCTCAGCAGGGAGCCTGCTTCCCTCTCTCTCTCTGCCTGCTGCTCTGCCTACTTGTGATCTCTGTCTGTCAAATAAATAAATAAAATCTTAAAAACAACAACAACAACAACAACAACACTATTCAACATACTACTTCTTTCTGTTGTCCCCTGAGGAATCACCTGCCTTTCACAATAGAGTACCTGTCTTAACTTAAAAAGGGGGGGGGGTTTACAGCTGACAGAGAACATGCATGATAAATGAAATAACAAAGTCATAAAATGCAGACCAACTCACAGCATGCTAGACACACATGTCCCCTACTCAATACCTCCAAAAAGGAGACGAAGGGCAGGGTCATCATCTCCTGGGCTCAGTGAAAGTGTTATCCAGTGGATACCTCAATAAAAATAGTGAGGCTGGTACGTGGCTCTGAGCTTATTACTCCAAACAAAACTTTATCACCATTCTGCAATTTTCCTGATGTAGACACCAAGCACGGAAGGCACAGCACAAACCCCAAGTAGCAACGAATGTGGAGCAGGTGCCAAAGGGCACCGACTTCTACCTTGTTTGAGATCACTGGAAGGAAAGGAGCAAATGAATCAAATCCAAACACAACTGCCTTCTGGCTTTGTCCCTGTGAGGATGCCTGGAACAAAGACTCTGTGTCTTGTGCCCAGCACAGTGCCTGGCACAAAACAGGCTATCAGTAAATATTTGTGAAATCAGTGAACAGCAGCTTCTTTCATCTCTATGTTCCCAAAGCAACCTCAGTTAAGTTTATGCATTTCACGCTAGGATATGGGCATTATATGAATGGGGAAACCGAGGCTCTGAGGAATTGACTGACCAAGTCAAGACGGTGGCGAGGGACCATTGTCCCAACCACACCACGGCCGCAGGACACTTAAACACCAGCCACGCTCACCCTACACGCAACCCCCACCCCCTTGCTGACAAGACGTCCATACCTCGCGCCTCTGTCACACCAGCCTGGGGACAGGTCACAGCAGCGCCCGCCTGGCCTCCCCGGAGCTCCAACTTGGCACAACTACCCGCCACCCCGTCCCCAACCCCCGGAGGAGGGGGCGCGGCCTCTGCACCCCGCCCTGCCACCGCCTCCCAGCTCCTAACCTTTTTGTCCCAGATCTGCAGGGGTTTGCTGCCAATGCTGTAGAGGATGGAGAGGAAGCCGCTCTGGAATGTGTTTTTGAACATCTCGCCCGCGGCCTTCCCAGCCGCCCCGGAGCCGACCTCGATACGAGCACCAAGTGGCTAAGGGAAAGCAGGGGCCGGTCCTGGTTCGAAGATGAGAAGCTGCGCTCCTGGCCGCCTGATCTACACTTACCCGCGGCTAAACTTGGGAGCCAGACTCTAAGTCCTTGAGTTTCAGCTCTCACAAAATATACGCAACCTCAATTCGGAAACCACAGCAACTGCCTTCCGCGCCGCTCCTCCCGCCTTAAATGGAGGCGACGGGCCGTCACTGCGTAACATGGATCCCTCCGCCTGTTTGACCCGCCCCCTGAGCGCGAGAAGCCCAATCCTGCCACAAGAATCACGAACTTCCTGTCCCTTCCGCTCTTAAGTCCCGCCCCAGTTCCGCCTCCTTGTGGAAAGAACTCAGTTGTCAAGGAACTATTTTTCCTTCGTAGTCCCTCAAAGTTGCTTTTAGAAGGCGGAAGGAGATAGAGGATTGTGGAATGTGTGGTACGCCAACTCGGTGTCAAGGAAACGTGGCTGGGTAGGGTCAGGGGAGTGAAGACCTGGCCCCGCCCCCTGAGGGACTGGGAGGAGTTACAAGGGCAAAAGAAAAGTGGAGAAAGGCGCGGAAGGTAGCGTGGCTAAGCAATTGCTTACCTGGTGTCCTGAGAATGTCAAATAGATGTTGGCTAAGTGCAGGATAATATTAAAGCAGCCGACCCTTATTGTGTACTCACCGTGCTAAGCACCTTATACGCATCATTGCTTAATTATCAAGGGAGTCGCTACGACAACTCCACGTTATCTCGTGGGATGCAAACCAGTGCTCTCAGAAAATGTTTTACTTTCAATGCACTAGCAAACCAAAAGCCTGAGCATTAAGATAAAAGCAGAAATTGATAAAATTAAACAAAATAAAGTTGAGTTGGTTGAGTTGAATCAATAGCTGTTTTAAATCAATTAATATTTAGAAAAGGTTTAAAAAGACGTAAAATAAGCTCTGATATTTCACGTGTGGAAGAAATCGCAAATGTTGGAGACCAATCGCTCCTGAGCATCTCCTCAATATTATACTGTGTGCCCAGGCCTGTGCTGGGTATTGTGGCTGCCAGAAAAGGAGTTTGCTGTTAACATCCTCATCAAAACCGCTACAAATAGCTAAGATCAGTTGAGCATTTATTAGGTGTCAGGCACTATACTTTAGTAGAAGAGCTTTAGCCTTCACTAGATCATTTAATCCTCACAGCAACCCTGTGAACAATCTAACCAGAATTTCCAGACATGGTGTGGGGTGGGGGATGGGGGGTGGAATATATGGATCTTATTAGAGTAGAAAGTCAAATTTTTTTATATGAAACTTATTTTTGGATGACTTATTTTGGATGACTTGTTCACTTTAGGCCAGTGAACAATTTATCCCTTGTTATTAAAATGTTCAGGGATCCTGCTTTGCCTCTTCCATCTTCTGATGGCCCTAGATGTTCCTTGGCTTATGGCATCCTCACTCCAATCTCTCCACCATCTTTTTTTTTTTTTTTTTTTTAAGATTTTACTTATTTATTTGACAGAGAGAGAGAGAGAGAGATCACAAGTAGGCAGAGAGGCAGGCAGAGAGAGGGGGGGAAGCAGGCTCCTGCTAAGCAGAGAGCCTGATGTGGGGCTCGATCCCAGGACCCTGAGATCATGACCTGAGCCGAAGGCAGAGGCTTAACCCACTGTGCCACCCAGGCACCCTGTCTCCACCATCTTGACATAAACTTCCTGTGTCCTCTCCTCTTATGAGCACACCAGTCACTGGACTTAGTGTCCTCTTTGAATCTAATAAAACATCATCTTGAGAATGCATCCACCAAGTCCCTCTTTCCAAATAAATGCCCGTTTCTATGTTCTGGGTGGACATGAATTTTGAGGGGACACCATCCAACTCACTATATACCTCATCAGAGAGGACTTCTTTGACAACCAACCTGGAATGGCACCACTCCCACCCCAACTATTTGTCCCCTACCCCACTTTATTTTTTTTTTATAGAATTTGTCATCACTTCATCATCTATATTACTTATTGTTATCTCCCTTCCCCTGATTTTGATCTTCTGGGAGAAAGAATTTGGTCTGTCTTGCTTATAGTTGTCTTCCCAGTACCCAATCCAAGTGCTTGCATAAAGTGGGAATGCAGTAAGTATGTGTTGAATCAGTGAATCAGAGTCATGGACCTGTGGTCCTGGTCATTGCAGGCCCAGCACAGGCTCTGTCTCTCCTGGCCTCAGTAGCTCCACACCAGCCAGCCAGTAGAAATCTCCTTCCACTCTGAATTGGGGCTCGCCTATCCCATTTGCCTGCTCACATTCCTCTCAGTAACAGTGTGTTCTTAACTAACATGGAACACCTTGAGCGAGTGTGGGCCTAAGTGCCTTGAACAGAGAGCCAATCAATGAGTGAGCTGATGGAGAAAATGAATGTTTGCTTCTTCTAACTACCCATTCTCAGTAAGCGTCTGCCTTAACTGTGTTCTGTTGTTTCTTATGTTGGGATTCAAAGTTGATTGTGATTATGGCTTTGGCTACAGTAAAGATGATTTGTTCAAAGGTTTGCAAAACATAAATTAGTGAGTTGGCTCCATTGTAGGCTTAATTTTGGTGTGCAAACTTTTCAGGTGCAGACTGTGTCTTCTTCTGCGCATGTGTCTCAGCACCTACACATCATGGCAGGCACACGATGACTGACTGGATGGATGGACGAGTAGAGTAGAGCCAAATGCTCATCTCTGACATTTACTTTCGTTTCAAACAGATTAAATATATGGTTGACTTTGAAATGTCTAAGAAAACTAGATTGTGTACAAGCAATATTTACAGTCTAACCCATTATATTTTGAGTTGATTGAGCATCAATCAAGGAATAAGCAAAAGTGTTTATATATAAAACCAACTAGTTGGTAGTTAGAACAAGATTTGGAAATCAATCTTAGGAACACAAAGTAGATTTTAAATGTACAGCTTTAATTATTAAGGTATTAGAAACACCAGTAATTGTAAGCATCCTTTTCAGCAGAGGCTCTGGTCAGACACCAGAACCCAGTGGACAGTGTTTGCTCATGTCAAAGCCCAGAAACTCTGAACACTGGCCTCTGAGAGACACAAGGGACTTGCCACACACTGGCAAGGCAGAGTTTATGCCTTATTCCTCCTTGCTGATCGGGGTGGGAAGGCACAGTAATGAGGGGAGTAGTTGTGCCTGAAGAATCACCCTTTAGCTCAGAGCAAAGACGGAAGACTGCCTTGGAAGTGGGTGTTCAGTTGGTGGGTGAAGGACCACTGCTTGCCATCACCAGTGGTTATAGCCAAAGACCATCAGCCCTGATGACATCAGTAAAAGATCCAATGGTGGGCAGAAAACGCTCCTGCTCATCTGAGAGTGAAGTTCAAGTGGGACTGTGTTGGGCCCCTGCGCATTATTGTTGTTTTAAAATTTTATTTTTTAATTCACATACAGGAAAATGTACTCTTTTGGGGGGCTGTACAGTTTTGACAAAGGCACTGAGTCACATAACCATCGCCATATTTAGGATACAGACAGTTCCATCAACCCCCAAATTTCCTCCTGTTATCAAGCCCCCCACCCTGTCCTGGCCATGCCGAATCTCTGGTGACCACAGATGCGTTTTCCATCTAACATTTTGCCTTTCCCAGAATGTCACAGAAATGGAATTACTTAGTAAGTAGCCTTTTGAGTCTGGCTTCTTTACTTAGTACTATGCGTTTCAAATGCACATTTTAAAAGCTTGCTGAATATTCCTCAAAGTGCTGCTCATCCATTCTATACCCACCCTCTGCCCAGGGATATTTTATAACATTTGCCAGCCCCCTCCCTGCTTACTTTTGAAGGCTTCCCTACAGCATATCAAACATATTAAAAGGTAGCCATTTTTCATATTTAAGGTAACTTTTTTCTTGTTGTTTTTTTTTTAAAGGGTCTTTAAAAATTGCTTTTAAATGATTTGATTTGGTGATTGTAACACTTCACTACCATAAGAGAAATATTTTTTAAAGCAAATAACAATGAAGCTCATAGGATTGGAAAGACAGATAATTACATTTATTAATTTTTTATTTTGTAACTTTCTTATGTGAGCGCCAACACTTTTTTTTTTTTCAGGTTTCAAACATTCCTGCTTTCCTGGAAAGCTCAAAGACTCTAGGCACTATGTTCTGAGTGCCTGACAGAGTCCCACAAGAGTTCCATGGCTAAAGGCATCACAGTTCCAACCTAGACCCGTGAGAGAAGGGAAGAGAAGCCTGCTTTCTCTGAATCATGGCAATGTCCTAAGACAAAACAAAACATATGGCACAATTCCTTTTTAAGGTTTTATCTCACAAACACAATGTACTGCATAAAAATATATGTGCAAATGTGTTCACTGCGGCATATTGGTAATAGTTCTGCCAAGAGTCTATCATCGGTAAGGACTGCTTCGCCTGTGGTACGTCACACGCCGGAACACCACCCAGCCACGAAACACAGGTGAGGTAGATCTGTACATGCTGACGGTGAAACTGTCACAACTCCGGGAAAGCACAAGTTGCAAAAAAAAAAAAAAAAAAAAAAAAAGACGTACAGTTTGATGACATTTCTGTAAAAATAAAAATTGTCATCATTTTTTAACTTCATAAACGTGAAGGAAAAAAAAATCACAAGATATACGCCAAATTTAACCATCTTTCCTCCAAGAGAGGAAAGAGATTTCGTATGTGTTTGTGTGTGGCGGGGTAGGGGTAGGCGTTAGGTGGGGGAAAGCTTTCATGATTGACTTTTAGGTAACATTTGCATTTTTTGCCATGAGCATATAGTACTTTGGTAATTAGAAAAGTTAAACAAACATTACTTTAAACAGCCCAAACACAAAGCAGGAGCACTGAGATGAGAATTGATACTCTGGATTTCCAAGCACGCTGCGGATAAGCCTTATAGACTGTAAGCAGGTCCCCTGTCCCCTTTTCTCAAGGTCAAAAAAGCCTAAGCAAAAACTCCTCCTTTCCCTTTATTCCACAAACTCTCTCCCACCCAACAGTAGTCATCGACAAAAAAGAAACGTATCTGAAATGCTTGAGAGGTTTCTGGAAAACAAGACTTTCCCACGGGGAAGTTAAAGAGCACCTCGGTTGAGAAGATAAACAGGGAGCTAGCATTCAGATTCTGCACGGCATCTAAGAATTCCCGAGCCAGTCAACAACATCTACTTTGCAGAGACCCTTCTCATCTGGGAAGGATCTCAAATGCCGATGGGTCAACATGGAGTGATGGGCTAGGTAGGTAACATGCACACACGAAGCACCATGTCTGTAGGAGCTTTGAGGATGGGAGACCACAAGAAATTTGCAGAGCCTTGAGTCAGAAAGGCCGCAGGAGAGAGCCTGCTTAAGAAAACCAGGCCAGCAGTGGTGCTGCAAAGTCCCAAGTCCATCCACTCGGTGTCCTGTTGGCCTTACAGTCCGCTGGCAGCAGGCCTGCGGGCCCTCGTCGCTGGTGTCCGGGGCCAGGCACTGTCTCGGGCTCCCACACCTGTGCAACTGCTTGGATACGACAGAGGCTGCTCCAAGGGACACTGTGACGCCGTGATGACCCTGAGGGGCCTCTTTGCTTTCCCCCCACAACTGCTTCAGAAACTGTGAGTGTCCACACCTGGGTTCCCACAGTCACCTGTTCAGGACAAGCAGCAAAGACAGAAGAAGGAATGTTGTGGGACCAAGTGGCTTTTGTGGGGAACTAGTGCGCGCCCCTGAGCCGCGTGGGCATCGGGGTCTGCCCGGCTCTCTTGCTTTCTACAGGCTGTGGAGGACGCAGTCCACAGCCAGAGACAAAGCTGAATGGCCACCAGGTTGTGGCTGCTTTCAGCTCCCTGTGGCACAGCTGTCCTGGGACGGCAGGCCTGAGGGAGCCAGGGAAGACTTGTTTGTAAAGCGGATTCGTTTTCACATAATACACCTGGTGTTGCCACTGCACACTCTCACAGTCGTGTGGGCCACAATTCCTTCCAGCTCATGGGAGCTTCTGAATGCCACGAGAAGCAGCCCTTGGTCTGGACCTGAGATCCTCTGACCCCTTCCCTACGGCAAGACCGCACACTCAAGCAAGCTCCATGTTAAGATGCTTTTCCAGAAGGAGCACAGGGAAGGTGGGGGATGGGGAGGTGGAATGAACTATAGAGACACCGGCAATAGGAAAGCAAAGAAGGGGCTAAGGCATCTCCTGGAGGTCACCAGAGGTGACATCTGTCTACCGCCTCGTCACTGGGTTAGAAGGAAGGGTCAAGGCAAAACACGGCTCTCTTGGCTCGCTCGGTCTACTTAAGTCATCTCAGTTTGCCCCATTCTCAGGAATAGTTCACGATACCTGTTCAACTTCTCATCTCTGGCCAAGAGTGTCCTTCAAACCGGCCCTTCTCACTGCTGGGACTCCCCCTGCTTTCCTCTGGCTAGAACCTGGCACGAATGCTCTTCATTCAGTCCTCTGCGGCCACGGGTCTCGGTTAATGGCCCCTTCCACACTGAAAACTCTCCATACATTTCTTTTAAAACCTTTTATTCAATAATATATACTTTTAAAATTATAATATGTAACTGCCCGTCATGCCGTAGATTGCCCCCGTGCCCCCACTGTGGAGTCTGTGGTCGGCTAGTTAACGTGGTCTGCTGGTGGCCACAGGCCGAGTCAAGGGGGAGCAGAGGAGCAACAGTAACCCACGACCATTTTGCATACCCTTCACATTTCCCATGCTTTCTGGGTCAGGAGGAAGTCAACAGGAAGCCAAAGGCGTATGAACCTTTTACATTCAGAAGTGAGGTTTGATATACGGTGGTGGGCTGCCCTTCGGTTGGTCTGGTTCGTGCTGGCCAAACCTGCCACCATTTTGTGTCTGCTCACGGAACGTGATCTCTCTACACACGTTAAGACGTTTTGATTTGGTTCTTGTTCTGCTTATGGAAAAGTGGGAGGAACCGCAACAGACCTGGGGAAAGAGATGGGAGGAGGGGAAAGACGGCATTAATCAATCTGACCCGGAGTGAGGACAGGCCTTCACTTGCCTGTGGCTTCCTTCTCTGTAAGAGTGCTGGGAGCAGTGTGCAAGCTGGACTTTCCCATGCCACTCAATGGAAAACCTAGTAAGAGCTAACTTTATGGTCTCAGGTTTCAGCAATACCCTCTTCCTTCCTCTTGTGATTGCCACTCACAGAGGTGGTCTTAGGCATGGCCTTCTGAGAGAGCAAGGGGAAAGCTCTGGACATGGCATGTGTTCCCCAGGCCTCCTTCCCACCTCTTGGGTCCGGAATACAGATTTGGAAGCATCATGGGCTCTGGACCATTCTCTGCCAGCCGAGCCACAAGCTCAGCAGTCCAACTCCAGATCCCCATCAGCCCTGACCCAGTTCACTGAGGACATCTCGGGACTAATAATCAGATGGCTGTATTTACGCTGGGGAAGCGCAGAGTCCATTAACAAACAAAGAGCAAAAAGGGAGCTCAAATATTTTTAACTCTCCCCGGGAGCAGCGGTGTGGCATGGCCTGAAAACCCCGTTTCTCCTTCCATGTCCGGCACAGTGGTGTGGGCGGTAAGAGGCCAGCGGCAGAACTCTAGAAGCAGTGCTCAGAGATCGGCACTACAGCAATGAGAAAGGACTGTGCCCCCAGGAAGCAGTCACAGAAACATCATTTCATGAAAACTTTCCCTGGGTCAAGGAAGGGAGATCCTACATTCTTGAGAAAGGCCACATGGTGCGGAAGGCTAAGAAAGAAAGGCCTATTTGCCTTTAAGCACTTTGCCAACTGATTTCCAAGCGTCCAGCGCCACAGAGGGATCTGTCAGGGAGAAGCACGCTAATTAAAGACACCACCATCTGCCAAATGCAGACACACAATAGCGCGTGCCTGCTTGTGATGCACGGAATGCGGGCAGGGAGAGATGGTCATCAACGCAGAGCACTCTGCCACAGAGGTGTGTCGGGCACTGAAATGGGCCGATCCCAGAAGCAGGTGCCCTCGGCGGAAGAGAGTACCAAGGAACCACACCCGCCCCACCGGGACACCACTCCGGCCCCACCTCACAGGACTGAAGGTGGGGATCTGCTGCATCGCCCATAAACCCATCTTTGCAGTTCAAGGTGTACCCCGCCTCTCCCCCAAGACACAGGAAACACAAGCCTAAGGTCCCCATAGCAGTGGCTGGTCTCCCGCTTGGGAAGCTGGTGGTTGTCAACATTTTTATTTATGAAAACAGGACTGAACATGCATTTGTCTTTCCTCTAAGGGCAGCGGCATATCAGTCATATATCAGTCATCCAGTGATACAAAGAGGTGGCCAAGTGTGTCAGAAGTGGTCACTTGGCAAAGATCACAACCCAGGCAGTGGTGCTTTTCTGCGAACAGAAGGAAATGGTTGGCTCCACAGGTCTTGAAGATTTATCCAAGCTTTCCAGGGGATGGCAAGATTTCTGTCCCAACCTCTTAGTCACCATTTACAGCAAGAAAAGCCAGCAAGTGCAAAACTGTTAATTTATTGATTCAATGAAAGCTATTATTTTTTTTGAACAATCCCCAATACATGCAGTTCAGGATTAAGTATCACATTTGTAGCACATGTTGAGTCTCTACACAGAAGTACTCAGCTCGTCAGCCGTATAACCCATCACATCACTTTCCCCAGCCTCCACGGCACCTGCTCGTAGTCGTTTCCATGAACACATCCATAGAGCTCAGAAGTATATGTTGTTATTACTGATTTTCTGGGCCAGATGTTTTACCGCCACCTCCCCTCCCCCTCCCACCCTGGGATTAGTTTTTTAAAAGCAGGACGTAAGGCCATCTTAGGTTGATTAAGCTCGCTGACAAACTCTGGCTTCTCATATACTCCTGTGGACCCTGCTTTTGCTTTTGGAAGGGCTTAGAGTTCAATGACCTTGACTCTGCTCCATTATGATCCACCCCTACTTATTTGTAGGAGGGAAATTTGCTTTATCCTGTGGGTGCTCGTGCAGTAACACAGGTTTCTAAACAAATCATGCAGTCTGAACTGGCATTAAGGGAAACGGCCAAGTGGGCTCTCTTAGAACCATTTCAGTGCATATAAAAAAATTCTTCCAATTGCTGCTTGTGTTCCCCAAAGAGTTTTGCTTCCATCCTTAATACAGCACCTGGGAGAACCTAAGTCATTTCCCTGAGTAGGTGTGGACCGAGACCCACGGCCGCCAGCTCTCTCTGGGACTCGGCATCTGCCTGGAGGGCACCACTTCCAGTCCTGCTGGAACCACTCCAGGCGCCGTGCCCATTTCAGGACACCATTCCAGCTCGTGAAGGTGGTGTCCCTGAATTCTGTCTAGAAGTCATGCTCCCTCCTCAAGATCTACCCTTTGACTGTTTTTCTTATTGGTTTCCTTTCTTTTAACCACCTCCTGCCTGAGCCCCCAAGGATTACAAGCTCTTCTGTCTTCTCCAGCCAAGCAGTCTGAGTCCCTTCCTTCTCTGCAAGGGAGCACAGCAGCTTTGAGCCCCGGGAGCAGCGACGTGCTAGAGGATGTCTGTTAAACCCGGCGCAGCGGCCGGTGTGCAGGCGCCTCAGAGAGCCACCATCGGCACTGCTGTCATTGGTGAGAAGACCCAGGAATGCTTGATCTGTGCTGTCCACTTGACTTCTCCCACCTAGTCCCCTCCCAGTGATGGGACAGGAGCGGGCAGCTGATACAATCCAGGGGAGAGTGAACTGCAACCAAGCTGCAGGTGAAAAGGTCACTGGGCATCTCATCAGTTCTGCTCTCGCCATGGGACTTGTCAGCTGAAGCCAAGCCTCGCACTTACGCTCACTTGTGGCCCATCAGCCCTGACAGACTAATATATGTATTTGGCAAAGGAACATTTTGTTCTCACCATACCAGGCCTATGTCGTTGAACACAGGCAGGACCTGAGGTGATAGTGTAACACTACCCTGTTCCCCACATTTTTTGCTTTTCTTTAGGAAATAACTAAGTCCTTATCGTAGGCACTTTTAACCAGTTATAAAGTAACAAAGCAAACAAAATGGCTAATCAAAAATACTGAGATGAACTTAAGAAATAATCTGCTGACCAGATAGGATATTGGGTGGGTAAATATACCACAGCTGAGTCTAAGTATAAAAGCAGACTCCCACTCAAACACACAGACACACACACTCTCTCTCTTTCTCTCTCTCACGTCTTCTTTCCTTGCCCACGCCCCCCACTTTGGGAACTTTTCATGACCATCTCCTAAGCCAGGTTAAGTACTCTGAAATCTCCAGGGAGCTAGGTTCATCTGGCCACAAAAGGGCTCTGGAGATGGGTAAGAGAAAAGGTCAGGACTGGACTCACTTCAATTTGGGAAAGAACCTACAGCCAGCCAGCCAGTTAGTTGTCAAGACCAGACTCAGAAAGAGATGGGCATTTTAAACTCAGTCATACTGTCTAAGGCAGGAAAAGAAGTGAAAAGCATAGGTGGTGGAAAAGTAAACCATGCATAAAAAGAATTACTCCTGTCAGAGTAATTCTGTCAGAGCCACAGTCACAGAGCCAGGATAGGCAGCTTAGCTGTGTCTGCACCGACTAAATCATGATCAACGGAGAGACGCAGAAGTACGTCCATCACCTGACTATACTCCTCCAGATAATTTCGCTGCGTCTGGGGAACCCAAGGAAAAGAAATGGGGTTACTACTTCACCAAGACCCTCCAGTATACTCCTCCTGCCTGGTCCAGACAGGCAACTTTAAAAAAAAAAGGGGGGGGGTGGGCAAGAATGACAGAGGAGGAGATGAGAGGTAGGGGGCAAAAAGGACTCACAGCGGCACATCTCCCTGGTAATTACCAACAGTGCTGCCCAGAAGGGCACATCAGAAGGCTTCCATGCCTGACATACGAATACAGGTGCAGCTGAGAGCTCATGCCTTGGCTTCCGTTTTCAGGTAGAACAAATGCATACATCAATATACAGAATGTGCAATATAGGCAAGTAGTATGAGAATCTAAACTGAATGCATTTCCTGGCTTTGGGGTCTTATTTTTAATTTTCAATCTGTAACGTCAACTCTAGTAAGAGTTTTATTTGCATTTTAAATTCCCACCAACCAAACAACAAAAATACAATCTACATATAGAGATAGGACCTGCTACCAATACCAATACGATTTTATTGGAATACGGAATGTAAACAGATGTTTTCAAACAAACAATCTAACCTTATAAAAATGTATGGCATTATTAAATAGTTAATAAAGAAATCCTACAGTCTGATGTGGGTTGACACCTCGAGCTCTAGCCTAGCTCGAAGTCCCCACAGCTGTGGCATGGCTCTGCAGCTGGGGGAGGAGACTGCTTGCAAACCAGACTGGTGACAAGTCCCCAAAATGAAATCAGCCTGTTTACTTTTTAAAACAGAATCTAGCTTCCTTTGCTAACACGAAGGCTGGCACAATGGATCCTTTGACACTGACTCCAGGAGCTCCAACTAACCCCCCAGGCTCCCCAGATGATGACTGCTCAGTCACTGGGGTAGGGGCTGGCCCTGCACACACGACCCCAGTCCCTGCCCGTGAGAAGGACAGCTCTGCCATCGCGTTCACATATGAATTCTTGGAGCTTCCAAATGCAGCTTACCCTGATTATAGAGGGAAATTGCTTCTCATGGGGATAAAAAGGCAAAAAGGGTGGGGGGTGGGGGAAGAGTACATTTTCTCACTCAATAGGTCTTTTCCTAAATACATTCTAATAGGATGTTTCCCTCATTCCCCAACCGGCCTGAAGACCTACTTTCCAGCTTTCATTATGGTTATGACCAAAAAGTCTCTATTTCAGAGAGGTGCATGAAAACGGGTGCACACACAGGGATGTATGTGCTGGGAAATGGTGAGGTTTTCCTTACAAGGCTGCAAAAAGAAAAAAAAGGCTACACGGAAAAAATAGCAACAAGATTTTATGGTTAGGCAAATCAACAAAGGTTACAGTGAGCTCCAAGTTATGCACTGCGCATCACACTTCTGATGAGACAGAGGACCTGTTCACGGCGTCACAAGGTTTCAAGTGATGCCTACTGACGGCAAAGGGGCCTCTCGTGAGCGCCCGCAGTGTGCTCCCAAATGAATACACTTAGAAGAAAACTGCAGGGGTGAGGTACATTTCCCAGAGAGCTCATGTCATAAAAAAATACATAAAACATGAATTTGTAAAAGAGCTTAAAAAAAAAAATACTGTCACTGTTTTAATATCTCCTTTTCATAAATGAGGCTGGTGTGTCAGTATAGACTGCTGACGTTTTGCTAAATCTTGAGCCTGAATCTCACACCAAAGGAAACCCAGACCACAGTGGAATAGATAGGAAGTCAGATATTCAGAGCTTGTTGACTGAACGGGTTAATTCAACAGTAGCCTCCTGTTAAATAAAGGTAAATGGACAACAACTCCGAGTCTCTCCTCTCCCATGCATTCCAAAGGGAACGTTCCCTCAGATCCTGAACTATGGGCATCGTCCTGCTGCCACAACGGCAGCTCCCTGTAGACTAGTACTGGGGGATTTCTTTCTTTTTGACAGACAGTTAGGTCTTTACTCTTCTTTGCATTTAGAAGGAATGACTAGAATTTCTTTTTATCACATTGTAGTTTTCCTTCAAGATTTGGGTTTGGTTGGTTGGTTTTATTGGCAAGCATCAATGCCGCATTACCCGTCGCCTTCCAAGTCTTCACCGGGCTGCCGTGAGGCCACTGGAAAGCACAGCATTGTCTGCAGAAGGCTGGGACTGCTCCTTCACCACGGGGTCTGCAAGAGAACAGGATGGAAGTCAGCCGAATTTGGGATGGAAGCCGTGGGAGGCACTATCATGACAATCCCCTTTCTGCAGTGGGGTAGAGAGAGACGGACAGACTGACGGGAAAGCCAGGGTTAGAAGGACAACAGAAGGGCGCCTGGGTGGCTCAGTGGGTTAAGCCGCTGCCTTCGGCTCAGGTCATGATCTCAGGGTCCTGGGATCGAGTCCCGCATCGGGCTCTCTGCTCAGCAGGGAGCCTGCTTCCCTCTCTCTCTCTCTCTCTCTCTCTCTGCCTGACTCTCTACTTGTGATCTCTCTCTGTCAAATAAATAAATAAAAATCTTAAAAAAAAAAAAAAAAGAAGGACAACAGAAATTACAGAACTAAGGTTAAAGAAAAATCAGATACTGAAAACTAATCAGGGGAATTTGCTCTTCTAGTCAGTTCTTGCACTTCCTTCAAAGGGCAAGTTCAACTATGGAGACTCTTGGAAAACAGAGGTCCACAAACATTGACTTCCCACTGTTCAAAATCACTACTAATCTTCTTATGTGTTATTTTCCTTGAATACTAATGTCAGGTCCAACCCCCAATTTCTTCAAATCATGTGCAGTAATGAGCACTTGGGAGCAAAGGAATGAAAAGAGCCATTAGAAGACCTATCAATTTTAAGCAACAGTCATTTGAAACACTTTTTTTTTTTTTTTTTTTACAGAAGATGTGTATTCAGAAAAGTAGACAGATCATGAATTACGTATTACAAACATCAGAATTCTTAATTGACTCTAACTCAGAGGGTGAAAATAGCTTCCTATGCCAGAAATTGGAAAGAGGGCCCCCTGCGTTGTGATTATCTGAGGTCTAGAAGGCCAAAGGGTAAAACCTTTCCAATTTGTTGTCCACTAATGCTTACAGGCCAGCAGGTTCAAGAATTGTATAATACAGGTAGGATTTGCTTAATCTCTAGAAGGGAAGAAAAGAAAGGACGATAGCATACTGGCCAACCCAACAGACAGGCTGAAGGTTTTTTTCTTGATTCAGAGAGTGAGCTAAGACTCTGTAGGTCCTGTAACCTTTATCCCCAGTCTCCTCTGTGCCTGGACCATATCATCTCATGCTGCCAGCAATTAAGGGGAAAGCTTATTTGAGACCTATTGTATTGCGGGGGAGGGTGGTACACATGCAGATAAGCAACCCCAGGCACTGATCCATACCCACACTATGAAGGGAGACCCAAAAATTCTTTAACTGAGGAAGGATTTTAGTGAGGTCTTTCCACACCTGCTTTCCTTTTCTCAAATTCCTTTATTTAACATTTCCTTCTTTAAAAATATACCACAGTCACCTTATTACTTTAAACTACTTGTTTTTTGAGGGGAAGGTATCTTGGGTTAGGGTCCCACACAGATGTATGTATCTGAAAACAATGTTCAGGTGCTCGTGATCTCCCAACTCAGGGCCACAGGAAATGGTCCACAGACCAGACTCCAGGACAGCTAAGGCAGCGGACAAGCAAACACCCTGCAGACCAAGAAACGGAATGGCAAAACTGTCTCAACAGTCGAGAACCAGTGAGGCCAAATTCCACGGATGATTCAATCCAAACCGCTAGAATTCTCCTGACTGGCCTCAAAGATAAGCAACTATTTCTCCTTTAATGAACTACACCCCAGGAGACTCACAGAAGTACGGGTGCTCCATGGCCTCTTTGGCAGTCAGTCTCTGTTGATGGTCATATCGCAGAAGTTTGTCCAGAAGATCTAGAGCCTCGGGGCTGACGAGGTGTCTGTTCTCACTATGGATAAAGTTTTCCCAGCGTTTCCGTGAATGTCTGAGAAGGAAAGGGAAGCGTTAGTACCGAGATTCTATTCAACAAGACTCCTGATGTTACTAGGGCTAAAGGCAACAAAATCTTAGACTATTGCACTGATTTCAATCTCGTTCAATCTCTTTCTCACGGTATCTGCCCCACCCCCCACAGGGACACTCGCAGCATCCTGAAACAAAAACCAGTGCTCTCTGACAAATAAAAGGAGCAAAAACTTCGACATCTCATTTAGAATCTGTGGCACCTTCCTAGATCACCTCTTAGGCATCAGGCTTTTAGTCCATTTGGTGAGGCACAGAGGTGATGGGAGTTATTTTTGTTCAACAGAAATATTTAGAGAGCCAACCTCAGAAATCTAGAGGCTCCATAAAACACTGAAAATTGCCAATGCATTTACTTTTCTTTCTTTCCTTTTTTTTAAGAGATTTTATTTATTTGACAGAAAGAGAGATCACAAGCAGGCAGAGAAGCAGGCAGAGACAGAGAGGGAAGCAGGCTCCCTGCTGAGCAGAGAGCCCGATGTGGGGCTCGATCCCAGGACCCTGAAATCATGACCTGAGCTGAAGGCAGAGGCTTAATCCACTGAGCCCCCCAGGTGCCCCAATGCATTTACTTTTCAATACTATCTCACTGTACCTGCAAATATACTTTAAAATCCGCTTTTTTTCTTTTAAAGATTTTATTTATTTTATTTGACAGATGGAGATCACAAGTACGCAGAGAAGCAGGCAGAGAGAGAGGAGGAGGCAGGTTCCCCGCTGAGCAGAGAGCCCGATGCAGGGCTCAATCCCAAGACCCCAGGATCATGACTTGAGCCGAAGATAGAGGCCTTAACCCACTGAGCCACCCAGGTGCCCCAAAATTTGCTCTCTTGTAAAAATCCATTACATAGAACAAGAAAAAACTATAAAGCTCTTACTCAAAGAAGAAACACAGCTTTCTAAGATTTTCCATTAAAATAAGCATATGCTGTATCAGAAAGATTTTTTCCTGTAATAGGTTTTTGTCTTCCATTTTCTACTGACAGGTTATCTCTTAGAGAAGTACAGTGACCAGAAGACACATGTAAACAATGCCCAGCTACCTCAAAGCAAGTTAAAAAAAAAAAAAATACAGGCAAAAAAGGGAGGAGGTTTCAATTTTGCTATGATTAGCAAGTGATTTCAGCGACATTCCCAGTTCTGAAATAGGGTAAATTAAAACCCTCATTCTCTCTCCCTCTCTTACTTACTGTCCCAGGATATCGTTGAAGTGTGGATCTAGGTCTATGTGATATTTCTTCAGATAACCATACAGCTCATCTGTACCCAGAACCTTGGCAATGCGAACAAGCTGAAACACAAAACAAACTGACCAAATCACTGAGCACAGAGCTCACTGCAGGCCTGGGAGGACACGATCCCAAGGCACTGGGGGCTTCCACACCACTGAGTCCCCAGGGACCAGATGCAGGCTGGAGCCTGGGGCACACAGGCGGCAGACCCCAGGACATGATGGTCACAGAACGCAAATTTCCAAACCGCCTTTAAAATGGTAACAACTTACGACAATAATCTTCCAGAAGTTGACCAATTCTGGGGGCATCACAATCTAATGACTACAGTCTGGTTTTATTAGACAAGGGCTGCCCGACTTCTTCACAGGACTCTCTCTGGAAGTTGCGCATAAGAGAGTTTTATCTGTCTCTGCATTTGGGGACCTGGTAACCACAAAGAGTCATGCAACTCTTTACCCTGAAGCAAAACTTCTGTGCAGACACTGAGTGACATTTAGCGGCTTGAGGACAGCATCCCTGTCATAGGACTCCATTTTCTTGGCATCTGCCCCACACGGGGAAGAGCCAGTCACTGTTTGCTCACCTGGTCGTAGTTGTCCTGTCCGTGAAAGAAGGGCTCCTTTCGAAAGATCATGCTGGCTAACATACAGCCCAAACTCCACATGTCCAAGCTGTAATCATACATCTGGGGAAATAAGATCAGCCTGTCAGTGAAGAGTGTTATAAATGCATTTCTCTGATCTGGATTTTTAGTCTTTAGTTGACCTTTGCATATATTTTAGAATTCAAAGAAAAAAAAAAGTTACTGAGAAAAATCTGAAATTAACACTTCAGGCTCGGTTCTGAATGTATCCAAAGAGCAAAGGAGGAGAAGCCCTAAGGAAACACACAAAGGCGGGGGAGATGCTTGGCCAGGAGTTTTACCTGATAGTCCACAAGGAGCTCCGGGCCCTTGAAATATCTCGAGGCTACACGGACATTGTACTCCTGAGCAGGATGGTAGAACTCTGCCAGACCCCAGTCTATCAGTCGCAGCTACAAACATGACAGAAATCAAACATGTAAAGGAGTGATTCCAGACGCCCATGCCTTAGAACAAGGCCACATCACATCAGTTAACAATTACGTGGGCCACATGAAAAATGCTATCAAAAATTACACTTTCAGTAATGGTGGAAGGGTCCCTTCTAGAGCAGAGCACTCAGAATCTTATTTGCTTTTTTTTTTTTTTTTTTAAATTTAAATGATCCTGGCTTTTCATTCTCTTCAGATCAATCAAGCTTAAGCCTTTGACTCTGCGTCCGTTTCGCTGGCGTGTGTAACACACTCCTCCGTCATTAACAGCTGCCGCGACTGACAGGGTTGGGGACACAGGCCCCAGTCCAGGCTTGAAGCACTGCTCCAGCCTTTCGTTCATCTCCTAGCAGCGGATTTGTCCACTTACCAATCAGGGACAACCAGAACCAGATATCAAAAATAGGAGAGACCCAAGTGTACTCATAAGGCCAGGCACACGGATTGGTCTAAGGGTCATTAAAATGAGGAGAAACCATCAGCTGGAGTTTCTTTGCACGTCCCTCTGGAAAACCATGACCGAAGTAAACACAGGACGACAGTGAGGCTCAGCTGCCTACTTTCCTTGCGTACACGCTTATGCAAAGTAGACAGCAACACCAGAGACTGAAGAGGGAACAGTAACACAAGTCTGCCGAAGACAGCGGTAAACGGGTCTGCGGTACCACCTGGGTACTGGCCAGCGCTGCATCTGCCCTAGGCCTTCCACGGAAAGCCTTGTCGCTGCCTGGCTGCAATGGTACCTTTTTCTGCTGGTGATCTATCATGACATTGTGAGGTTTCACATCCCTGTGCATGATTCCCTTGCTGTGGCAGTAATCCAGGGCCTATTAGACAAGAAAGCACAGAGAAAAGTAAGCAAACCATCTACCAACTGCGATGCAAGCATATTCTTATTATTTGTGACAGCTTGGCTTGGATGCACGCTCCCAAAGAGCAGCTTACGGTCCGTGACAAAGGAGAACAGGCATGCTTCAGAAGGCCCCCCTTGCTCTGGGGCACCCTATGCCGGCAGCTGGTGGAGAGGGGGCTCTGTGAGGGAGGGGATAGGGAGATGCTTCCTACCTAGGTGTTAGTAGGTAACAATTCACCAGCCACCTAGATTTAGAAATCCTACACTCATCTGTTGGTCTAGCTTGATGGATTTAAAACCAGATCTGGGAACACCCTCTCACAGTGGTTCAAATGGCACGGAAGAGTCACTGTGGGAATGAAGACGTGTCGTTCAACATGGACCCAGTGTTCTAGTATTAATATTTTCTTTTACAAACAACCCCTAAGCCAGGGGCCTCTAAGAGTTCTATTTTTACTCTAAGGGAAGATACTGCTCCCTACAAGACAGACGACACGCAGATACGATTTTAAGCATAGAAGTCCATGATTTCCTTTAGCACACTCACAGAGTTGTGCGACCGGCACCACAATCCTGTCTTGGAACTCTGCCACCATCCCAAGAATTCCCTGTCAGCTTGCCTGTGATCGGTCCCCACTCCTCTTTGCCCCTACCTCAGCTGTAACCACAAACCTGCTGTTACTGCCGAACTGCCTTTTCTGGGCATTTTTAAAGTGAGATAATACAATATACAGTACTCTGCCTGCCTTCCTTCAGCATAATGTTGCCGAGACTCATCTGTGTCCCCCTTCCGTGTTGCTGAGTAGTAATCCGCTGCAGGGCTGTACTAGCTGACGGACATCTGGGTTGTCTCCAGTCTGGGGCTAAACAAAGAACACTACTTATGCATGTTCACGTAAAGGTCTCTGAGGGGACACAGGCTTTCACTGCTCTTACACAGATTCTTGAGGGTGGAAGTGCTGAGCTGTCCATCAGTTTACACTGAACTTTTTAAGTCTGCCTGATCGTTTTCCAAAGTGCCTGCTCCATTTTACATCCCCAGCAGTCACGTATGAAGGTTCCGGTTTCATCACATCCTTGCCAACAAACAACTTGTCACTGGTTCATCCTCGGGATTAGCGCCTTTCTGGAGCGTCTCACGTGGGCCCTCACATGGATCTGAATTGTATTTTCTAACTGGGTGATCAAGAGGACATCTTTTTGGGTCTTAGTGGTCATCCTGCATCTTCTTTGGATAAATACTGATTCAAAACTTTTTTTTTTTTTTTTGCCATTTTTATCTTTTACCATTTTTTCTTTGGGTGGTTTGTTTGTTTTAGATAATACAAAAATTTGCTTCTAATTCTCCCTTTCTGAACACAGTAACTATTCCCACACATTTTAAATTAGGCCTTCTGGCTTGTCTTCAAAGCACTGCAGCCTACTTGACTGCCATGATTTCCTCCTTAGGTAATAATAATCACAGCAACCTATCATCTTGTGCTTCCTACTATGTGCCTGGCACTGAGTGCTTTTAGGGGAGTTTTCCACAAGACAAGATTAGGGTTTTTCCAACTCGGCACTGCTGACATCTTGGACACCTGGGACTTGGGGTAATTCCTGGCTGGGAGAGCTGTCCTGTGCACGGCAGGATGTTTAACAGAATCCCTGGCTTCTTCCCACCAAATGCCAGTTACACTCTTCCCCATTGTGACAACCAAAAATGGTTCCAGATTTTGCCAAACTGACCTGATTGAGAACCACTGGACTAGGTCAGAGAATGAGCTCTAGGATCAGCATTCCAGGAATAAACAAATTCTGCTTTCCCCAGACACAAAAAAGTAGGTAGCACACGATGCTTAATATACGAGGGTTAAAAAACAGACAAAACTAAACTATGGTGGTAGAAGTGAGAATAGTATCTTCAGAAAAGGGATCCTGAAGAGAAGGGGCATATGAGAGCCTTCTGGGGTATTTGTTAATATTCTCTACCAGCCCTGTCCAATAGCACTTTCTGCAATGACAGCAATATTCTACAGCTGCACTAATATAGTAGCCACTAGCCACAGTAGGCCACTGAACACTGGAAATATGGCTACTGCGATTAAGGCATGGATTAAATAGCTCCCTGTGGGCAACAGCTACTATACCGGGCAGCACAGTACCATACAGATCTGGGTGAAGGTTTCACTTATGTAAAAACCCAAAAACCTGTACACTTAAGATTTATTCATTTATGGAAGTTCTACTTCGATTTAATTTTTCTCTTTGTTTTGCTTCACAACAACAGGTGTAGCAAGATTCTACAATGGCTCTGTGGCAGTGTCTTTTGAAACCAGGGCTCCTGAGGACACACCTCCCCGGATCTGAATCGGGAGACTGCACTGTGTACCCAGCAACCACTCAATAGCCCTAGCCTCAGTTTCTTTGACATTTTCCGTGAAGCTGAAGATCTCCTCTTCCTCAATCCCCATTTTATTACCCCAAAGAAAAAATTCACCAAGTGTCGATTCTGTTATTTTGCCTAGTCTTTGCCCAAAGGAATGAACTAATTAGGACCATAATACCTGGGTGTAAGAAAAACCTAAGGAGAGCAGAGGCTGAACAAGTACAGTAAGGGAATTAATTCTTTTGCCAAGTTCACTAGTCAGACTCCCTGTGGAGTCACTGACATGCTTTTAAATTCCTTGGGGGAGTTATTTCAGTTTCAAAATCTGGTATTATCTGACCATTAAGCATGAAAAACATTTTTCAAACTTCGTCTGGGGTTCTGTGCCTCATTAGCAGAAAGAACACCCTTACTGGCTAGCTGTTACCTCCAGAAAGCAGAAGGGATATCAGACACACAGTACCATCTACATGACCTGCCTGTGAAGACCTGCGTCATTGGGATGTCTTCCCTTGACTTAAGCACAGCTGTACTAGGTTTAAATCTTCATCTTTGGTGTGCTAAGTGAAAACCACAAAATCTTAATACCTTACTTAAAAAAAAAATAACCAACTGTTGGATTTGGATTGCAGCTCTCACTGGGTGGATGCATGGGGTTCTCCGGCAAGCACCTCCAGAGATGGAGCTAGCAGACTGCTTGTAAGAGCACAACACTGCAAACCTCTTCCCCACGGACACCTTCCATTCTGGTCTGGAGAGCACATGCAGAAAGGTGTGATAAAGCAAGCTCTACCTTCACATGCTTCTGATCTTACTCGCAAAAGAAAGACCCATTAGTTGTAAGAGTGGACTCTTAAATTGGCCACCTTGGTACTAATGACAAGTGGTCTGTATAAGCGCTTCTAAGAAAACACATTTACCTCACAAGCTAGTTCTCCAAACCCCCATTACCTAAAGCTTAGCTTTAATTAAACAAGGGATTTTGGGGCGCCTGGGTGGCTCAGTGGGTTAAGCCTCTGCCTTCGGCTCGGGTCATGATCTCAGGGTCCTGGGATCGAGCCCCGTATCGGGCTCTCTGCTCAGCAGGGAGCCTGCTTCCCCCTCTCTCTCTGCCTGCCTCTCTGCCTACTTGTGATCTCTGGCTGTCAAATAAATAAATAAAATCTTTAAAAAAAAAAATAAAAAAATAAACAAGGGATTTTGTTCGAGTAACTGTTCACAATCCCATTAAACTCCTCTTGGCAATTTTCTTCAATAATGCTAATAACTCAGTCATCTCTATCTTTCAGAGGTTCTTAAATTGAGATCCACACCCCCCATAAAACTTCATGTAATACTGTAAATTTATACATGTATTTTGGGGAGAGTTTATATGTTCTCTTTAGATTCTTAGTGATTCATGACTCAAAACTACTTAGGAGCCATTGGTCTATTCCATTTTACAAGCCATTTTAGAATTCTTTACCTAAGTGTTCACCTAGACAAACTAAAAAAGATCATTCCTCCATCAACCAGTAATGTTTCAAAATTTCCGTCTTGGGAGATTACTAAGACAACTAGAGGACCACTGCCCCACCCCCAACCTGCCATCACCTCTCCGTGCGTGTACACATCAGTCAAGGCTGGAGGGTAGGCTGGGAAGGGGATTATGAGTGATGGCGAGAGAAAGATGGCCACAGAGGCCTACCTCCCAGCACGCACGTCCCTCCAGACTGTGATTTCAATGCTCTGCCCGTCAAAAGGCGAAGTCTACTTCCCCATTCTTTGAATCTAGGCTTGGCCAGGATTTCTTTGGCCAAGAGGGCATTAGGAGACAATGATTAAAGCAGAGGCTTGAAAAGCGCTTACACATCAAACTTTGCCCTCTCGTGCAAGTAGGAAAAACGAGGCCACCACAGGAAGAAGCAGCTTAGACTAACACCTCTGTAGAACGAGGCTTCGGCTGGCTATGCCAGCTGCCACCCCCGAGATGTGAATGAGGCCATCCTGTACCAGTGTGCCCCAGTCACGCTGACCCAGGCAGAAGACTCACCCAGGAACCCACAGAATTAGGAGAAATAATAAATAACTTTTTAAAAAGTGTTAAGTTCTGGGTGACATGTTATACCATGAAAACTAACAGTGTTAATTAAACAGCAAAAAAGAAAATCCAAGAGCCAACAAGAGCTACAAAGAAGGAGGTTCTGATTCCTGGTATCTCTTGACTCGGCCACCTTTCTCAGTTCCACTGGAAAGTTCCTATGTAAAGATCCCACGACAGAGATCTCAATGTAGGTTAAAAGAGAAGCAAAAAAATCCCTTGGGGCACATGGCTGGTTCAGTCAGTAGAGCCTGCGACTCTAGATCTCAGGGTCATGATTTCAAGCCCTAGTTGGGTGTGGAGGCTACTTAAAAAAAAATTAAAATACAAAAACAAATACTTCACGAAATTCTCTCAAGAATTCGTATCAAGAAAGAGTCTGCCTGAGTTCTCTTTGTCCTCTCTGAAACTTCTCCTTTAATGAATACAACTGAAAAAATTCACTGCATATGAATGCCACTTACCTTAAGTAGCTCATACATATAAAACCGTATATCGAAGTCTGTCAGGATCTGGTAAAGTTGCTGAAACAGATTTCAGAAAAGAGAAAGTTAATTAAGTCTCATCGCATCTTGTCATCCCAAATACTGCTCATCATTCTCTGTAAACTTACTACTTAAGTCACTAAAGAACCCCAGGACTTTTTTCTACTACCTGTCTGTAACAAATGGGGATAAAGGCCAAGGGCAAGGGTGTAATACTTCTGCCTTTGTTGGGGGTGGGAGGAGGAATTCCAAGGGAGAGAAACATTTAATTCAACATGGATCTTTTAAAAAATTTGTTCAATGTTCCATGATTTCAACACCTCAAATTACATTATTGTGGAGATGAAGTCCAAGTTGTCTGACCATCCTCATATTCTTACTACACTTCAAACTAACCCCTGGAGCAGCACAGTGTCCGTTAGAGAACTACGTTCTGAGTGGAGATCAGAACTTCATTGGCCCATGTGGTAAAAAGTGGCAACACAGTGTGTTTGCTCAAAAAGAAACAGGAAGGGATGCCTGGGTGGCTCAATTGTTAAACGTCTGCCTTTGGCTCAAGTAATGATCCCAAGGTCTTGGGATCAAGCCCCACAGTGGGCTCCCTGCTCGGCTGGGAAACCTACTTTTCCCTCCCCCACTCCCCCTGCTTGTGTTCCCTCTCTTGCTGTCTCTGTCAAATAAATAAATAAAATCTTAAAAAAGAAAAGAGAAAAGAGAAAAAGAAACAGGAGGAAAATGACTGCTCTAGCTCTTGGAGATGGTAAGAGACTTAAGAAAGGAGTAGGGGAGAGAGAGAGAGAGAGAAAAAAAAAAAAAGACAGGTACTGAAAATGATTCCAGGCCAAAAGAACAAACAAAGAGTTCTCATACTGGGACAAAAGGCACACCCACTGGGAGTCTGCTCTTTTTTATTTTTTAAATTTCCATTTCTAAGAGGCAGAGTAGCATTAATACATCCAGGTTCATTAAAATCATCACAAACCTTCATCAGAAACTATACCAACACTTTTATTTTAGGTAATAATTCCAAGTAGATCTGTTCCCCATCAGTCACAAGTAGCACTTTCTACAAAATTAGTCAGCACAACTTGATTAAACATATTTTATTTCTTTATTGGAAGACTCCGGCAACAGAGGAGAACTCTCAAAGGGGCACTGACCAGCCTATACGATGTGTCTGTGTGGAGCAAAATTACACATCTCTATTTGTCTGTAGTTACAGGAATGATATAAAGACATAAATAAAACACGGCTTCATATATATGTAAATGTTTCTCTCCCTTGGAATTCCTCCTCCCACCCCCAACGAAGGCAGAAGGACAGCAGGAGCACAGTGAAATAAAGGAGATTTTTCACTGCATACCATTTTATATTTTAGATCCATGTACATACACTACCTGTTCAAAAAGATAAAAATTTGCCAAGAATTAAATTTAGTATCTTCTAAGACCACCAGGATTTAGCTTCTTTCTCAAATTTCCCTTGTTAAATAAAAGTAGTTCTCCCTCTAGCTTAGTAAAAACATATGCCTTCATCAACCTCAGGCAGCAGAGGGCATAAGCCCATACAGACCAGTCCCCTGGCGGTCTCTGGGCTGGGAAGGAGCTACACTCAGGAACAAGGGGACCACATCTCCTGCTCAGGAGGGACTTGGCTGCAGAGCACCCAAGCACTCAAGTGTTCTGCTCTCCTGCAGCTCTGCACTGCATGGAAGACTTCTGAGCCAGCACACCAACAGCCTGGATGCACAGACGCAGGCTGAAGATACTATCTCTTTGGGTGTCAAATCAGCTCCTCCTCTGAGAATTAAGGAGATCGCTCCCAGATACGGTGCCAAGTTGAACCCCAAGTCACTAAGCAGGCCATGAAAGTGAAGTGAGCATTTTCTAACCCGCAGAGGGCTGGACTATTTTCTTTCCGGAGAACAAATATGGGCTGTTTTATCATGTGGACGTTTATCCATGGAAGGCTTTCCTCTCCTGTCGTGCGGCATCTACACCAAGCATCTGTGTAAATGGTGGTAAGGCCTAACAACGTAAGTACTCGGGCTGCCAGCATTTCTAGCTACTCCAACCAGCATCAATTTTATGTAATATAAAACAATAAATGAATAGAGTGGTTAGGTCTAATACATTATGAAGTCCCAAATGACAGGCTGACATTCACTCTCATTTCTCAGGCGCTCTGGGTAGGAGGAGCCCAAACTACACCTGTAACATTTTACCAGCTGGGCCTAAAATTCCGGACTTGCCAGGGTCCACAGTCTGGCTTCTTCCAACTTTTGCAGCTCTGTCTCTATTGCCACCCCGGGGCAGGTGGGGGTCCCCCAACTCCCAACCAAACGAACCTGCTGGCCCCCTCCACTCTTCCTTCTCCAGCGTCCCCACCTCCCCCACAAACCTAGAAGATCCCACCTGGCTCCCTTAGCCTGCAAGTCAAGACAGCTGACAGGTGTCCCTTCCTTCTCTGAACCTTCTGGCTATTTATTGTCCTCTGCAGTGTTCAGAGGACACAGACAGCAGCTGTGTCCCCAAAGTTAATGTTCCCCACTCAGGTACTGGCAGCGACCTGAGGTTCTCAAGATAACCTCACTCAGCTGTGAGCAACAAGAAGCCGCTCCACTCTGCTCTCACCCCAAGTCCCACGCCAGCGCCCCCACATATCAGGACACACATGGTGGGGAAGAAAAGGGTACTGTGGCTGGTGGTTAGTCGCCAACTGGCTGACTCAGGATCTCTGCTTCCCCTCCTCCAAGCATGCAAGGGGCACCGTACAACCTGGTCCATATGCTAAGTGCTCAGATAAGATGACAAAGGAGGAGCATATGTGGTCTATATTCCACCCCATCAATGGTGGTTCTCAGCTTGCATCCAGAAGGCAATTGATAAATATTTGTCTTTGATAACATTCACCAGTCAGTGGAACAAAATTAAAACTATCTTCTAGGAAACATAAGTGTGAAGAGTCCATGATGAGTTATAAAGGGAAATTTCACAAGAACCACACTTTCCCTCCATTCTTCTTGGCCAGCTATGTGGAGAACATTGTTAACCAACCAACTGCAAAGTGTTGGCAGGAAGTTAGCTTTGCTTATATTTTCATGAAATAAATGACTTATCAAAAGCAAAACAAGCCTATGCTTCCCAGAAGATTACAAAGGTGCTGAGGAAGAAACTATTCACCAATCCCAGCTTGGTTCCAAAGCCTCAAACACACTGGCATTTTCTCAGAAATTAGACCTACTCCAGGCTCAAGAGGCCCAAAGTGGAAATATCCTGGGACTTTTTATTAACCTCAGAAAGTCTGAGGAGCAATGGAAAAATGGCAATTTGGTCAACTGCCTCAGACCCTCCTTGGTCTAAAACTGCCACCCAGAATGGAATGGCCCCATGTGGCCTCGCTCTCACTGTATACTTGTTGGTCCTCAGAGACTGTGGGTGTACTTCGGCTGCATCACGATCAACCCGAGGAGGACTATGCAGCTCAAGAAGGTTCCCAGCCACATGTGGGAATCACAGACACAGCAAACTCTCACCCTACACACAGAGCTTGCAGACTCCCTCACACACACAGCTCAGTCTCTGCCCAGAAGTCCCAGTGGTCCCCAAAGAGGGAGAAGAAAATGCAGAGGCAGTGGGATATATAGTGTGAAAGGTGCTTAATGCAGTTGTCACCAGTTCTGGCATTAAAACATAACCCCAAGATCCAGAATAAAATCAAGGTCAATATTTTTAGAAATTTACGGAAGCAGAACAAATCATTCATCAAGCAAATCAAAGTTATTACTAATCACTAGAACATGTCTTACAAAGAAGATCCTTTCCACATCAAACTACTACAAGCATTAACAAGGCCTCAAGACATCAGCTAGTCAAGGCCCACCTCTCTGGGAGTGATTTAGAAATTCTCCACAGAGCAATATTGGTCTACCATCTTCTCAAACGGACCCTATTCAGGATCCCTTACCAATCTTTATAATGTCCAGATGATATACTTTGTATCACTATAATGTTACAAAAATTAAAATGTATATTTTAATTTACATTCTTCCAAAAGCACAAAAAACTGAGAAGCACGTCTCAGTAGAAACTTTTTCTGCCACAACTATACTTCAGCTTCCTTAAGAGTTTTCTGTAACTGTTTATTTCAACCATTAGAGAGACTGGCTTTTCCTACTCCTTTGTTCAGAAGTTTGTCTTTTTTTCTAAATGTCACGATGTACCTTTTATGACCGCTCTGACACACAGGAAACATAACTGATGATTTCAAGGCAAAAACCAACCAAACCAGTACCTCCACCATAAAACAAAGTATCAAGGGGAAAAATGAGGAAGGCCATAGAAGATCCGAATTGAATTAACAAGCTTGATATTAAAAAAAGCCATGCACTGAAGTCACAAAGCCATTGTCAATAAAGTCCAAATAACGAACATTATGCAGGTCATGTTCCTCGGGACACAGCGCAGCCAAATCAGGAATCAACAATGAAAGAATATTTTTGTTGAAAAACCATGTGGCTCCTCTATCACATTATTCACAAACATATGGCTATGAAGGACATTCTTATGACAATAATTACCAGGAAACTCTTGAATATGGACTCTGTACCATGTATCAGATGGCATCATCATAGAAGTATTAAATGCCTTAAGAGGACTAATAGTATTGGCAGGTAGGAAAAGGTCCTATCCAGTTCCAGTGCTAGTATATTTAGGAGTGAAGTATCATGATGCCTACAACTTACTTTGAGAAAAAAAGAGATAAGAGGGGAGGGGAGGGAAGAGAACTAACAGCAAATGTGGTAATTATTAGCAACTGGTAAATCTAGGGGAAAAACACGACGGTATTACCTGTGCTACTCCTTACAATTTTCAATAGGTTTAAAGTATTTTAAAGTACAAAGTCGGGGGAGAAAAACCCAAATCCACGAGTTTGGAATTTGTACCTCTTCTTTTCTAAAATAAAGATTTTATTTATTTATTTGAGAGAGAGGGAGGGGAGAGATGAGCAGACTCCAAGCTGAGCACGGAGCCTGATGCAGGGCTCCATCCCACGACCCTGAGATCATGACCCAAAGTAAAGCTAAGTGTCTAATGCTCAACACACTAAGCGACCCAGGCACCCCTGGAATTTGTACTTCTAACGTGAAAACTACACAAAAATGAGTTCTATAACCATGGAATGTGTAGCTGAGACGGTGCTTGGGGGGGCACAGACTTCAAGCCCACTTACCGTCAATCAAGAAAGAAATACATGAAATGAGCAGACTTCCACTCAAGAAGGTAGGGGTGAAACAATGAAAATTCAAGAAAGAAAATAGTTTAGGAACAAAGAAGGGAGGAAGAAAGAAAATAATTAAGACAGGAACAGAAATGAGGAAATAGAAAAACAGAAGCATTTGAACAATAAAACCAAAAGCCGTTCTTCAAGTATTAATGAGAGATCTCTAGCAATACTGGTAATTTTTAAAAAGAGACAGAAGGCACAAATAATGTTGGAAATGTAAAGGAAAACATAATTACAAACATATTACAGTCTTTAAGCCCTCAGAGAATTCTATTAATAACTTTATGTAAATATGAAAGTGGACAATTTTAGAAATAGATACCATCCAAATAAATTCACGAAGAGACAAGAAACCAGGATAAACCTTTCACTTACATGTACGTACATTCTGAAAAGGAAAGGATAGTCCAAAGTCTCCCTTTCCTCCCAAAAGACCAGTAGATAATCCCTATTTCATATAAACTTTGAGAGAAGAGAAAGGAAAAGCTGCCCAACTTATTTTATGAAGTTAGGATAATCAGGAGTCTACAATAGAATGAAATTATGCATATAAAAAAATGCTGAAAAGAACAGGCTGCAGGTTCTATCACTGCTGACTCATCGGATACTAAACCTGGAACAAACCTCCTCTGAGCGATACCTTAAATCCAGTTACTAATACACCCAACAGTAAAATGAAAAAAAATATAAAGAAGCTTTTGTAAAAAGATAGACACAGGACAAAATAAAAAAAGCCTGAAGGGCATGAGGACATTAAACTAGCTGATTTCTCTATTTGTGGCCTGTCATACTACCTGGAGCAGAAAACGACCATCCTGTCATGATCTGCTTTTCCAAGATACACATCTACTACCTGGATACTTGACAATCTTGTAAGCTGACTAAAATGGCAGGGCCCGACCACTCAAAGGGGCCCCCCAGTGTGACACTGCAGCCCAAACACATCCTACACTCTGCATCTTCCTGAAGTTCCTCTCCAGGAACAGTGAAAGGAGTGAGGCTTGGGGGATTCATTCACAGTAACTAAGAGAATGGAAGAGATGACAACACTTTGAAGCAAGACAAAAATGTCCACTGACAAAGCTGAAAATTCTGTCAAGAGCAGAGGGGGTCCAGAAGCAGACAACCTCACATGGAAGAGCTACAGAAAGGCTCACAGTGACCCCAGGTATCAGTGAAAGAGAGTCAATAGATTTCAGCTGAAAACAGGAAAACAAGTTTAAAACACCACACTGAGGGGCACCTGGGTGGCTCAGTGAGTTAAAGCCTCTGCCTTTGGCTCAGGTCATGATCCCAGAGTCCTGGGATCGAGCCCCGCATCGGGCTCTCTGCTCAGCAGGGAGCCTGCTTCCTCCTCTCTCTCTCTGCCTGTCTCTCTGCCTATTTGTGATCTCTGTCAAATAAATAAATAAACTCTTTAAAAAAATAAAACACCACACTGAAAATGGGGAGTTACATGAAAGCGCACCTAACATTGCCCCCGGGGCTCCTCCGCTGGAGGCCGAGAGGCCCGCACAGCCAGGCTTGCATCCTCCAGACAGGGGCTGACAAGCAGTCATCAGTCATTTCATGACTCTAAAGAGTAGACAGTCAAAAACCATGAGATTTCAGACAATTGTAACACAGACCAAAAACAACACACACAAAAAAGCATTTGAAAGAAAAACCGAGAAAAGAACATGAAGAAGAAAACATCGCAGGGTGGGGGGGATCCACACATTCTCTGTGAGAAAATAGAAAATATTACATAAAAGAACAGGATACTACTTTTAAAACTTCTGAGAACTGAACAGAGCTAAGAGATGAAGTCTAACATTTGAATGAGCTCTAGAAAGTGAGAACAAAGAAGGGAAGAAAATCAAAGAATGTTAAAAATATTGTTCTAAAACGGAAGGACATGAGTTTCTAGATGGAAAAAGCCCAGCAAGTGTCCAGAACAAAAGATAAAAGTGACCCATTCGAAGGAACATCATTGTGAAATTTCATAGACTGCGACTCAAGAGAAAATCCTAAAAGCTTTCCAAAGAAAAAACCAAAACCCAAACCAGATCATGTAAGGTAAAACCAGAACGGCTTCAGTGGTAATACTGGAAAAAGCTCTTCAAAATTCTGAGAAAATTATTAGTTACAACCCAGAATTCTAGGCCACGGCTAGTACGTTAATTGGAAAGATAAAATAAAAACGTTTTCAGATATGCAAGCCTCAAAAACCATGAATTTTCCATGACCTCTTTCAAGGAAGCTCCTGGAGAACATGTGCCATTAAAACATCCCTTTGAGAGTTAAGATGCAAGAGAAGTTAAGATTTCTCCAGGGAGTTAAAAATTCCTGCAAACCGATCTTCTGGGTGCTGTTAAATTCGCAGGGCAGTTGTCAATTTAAGAAACACAAAATGCTGACAAACCATAAGTGACTCTCAATCTCACAAAACAAACTGAGGGTTGATGGGGGGAGGGGAAAAAAAAAAAAAACCTGATCGGTGAGGAGTGTGCTTCTTCCACTCTCTCTTTCTGCCCCTCCCCACCACTTATCCATGCACTCTCTCTTTCTCAAATGAGTAAATAAACTCTTTTAAAAAATAAAAAAATAAAATAAAATAAAAAAAAGAAACACAAAATGCTGACGTGAAAATTTTACATGCGTGGCCAGACAACTGATAAAAACTCATTAAGGGAGCAGAAGCATTTAAAACTTAGGTATTTCACTATGAAGTTTCATTTAGACCAGCTTTTAAACTTCTGGTATTTAGGAAAATGCTTGGTTTCATTAAGAAATGCATACACATTCCCACTCACGTACTTACACCTTGATAAACCTGGGTCACTCGTGGCGAAAGTGTGACTGGCCACAAGTATCAGCAGAGAACTCTACTAGCTAAACACTGGCAGGCTGGCGAAGACACTGACATCTACCGCCAAGAGCTCACTGCTGACTTCACCTTTAAGGAGTCCTGCTAACAAGGAAACTTGTTACACATGGGAAAGCTACACTGTATATAAAACTTGCTTATTGTTTCCCAAATTATAATATCCATGTTTACTTATTTTCCACTAGTTAACCTAATTCAGAGTTGTTTTAGAGTGACTACCTAAGACAAATTAAATGTGAGATAAAGCTTTTATTTTCACCCAAAAGCCTCACTCCTGATACCAGCTTTCAACTGCTACTATGGTTTTGGCCCTAACTTCCATCACAAAAAAATCACAAGCTTATGATTCACTGACTGAGTGATTATAATCACCCAAAAGTTCTCCAAAGACCCCTCAAAATCAACACCACTATTTTGTTTTTATACATGGATTCACATTATGTTCTACCATGTCTAGAATAACTAGCCCCCAAAACTTTACCAGAAGCTAAGGTTGTAGTGTCTGAACAATAATAAAAACAAACTCATGAAAAACCAGCTTAAACCCGTGCTTTTAGAAGAACACTTCAAGTCTATATTAATATGCATTATAAATATAAGAAATGTAAATAATCCTGGATAAGGCTTTTCTAAAGCACAGGGACACTTAACTAGCTTTTCTGGGTCATTTGCTTTGTATAGTCTTGGTGAACACACAATATTCTGACAGCTTGAGTCCTACAGACGGCTTCTTTTCACATGAGCCCTGTAACCATTTACCACTTCCTATCAGCAAGGGTAGATTCCTATGCAAATCAAGTATCTCCCTAAAACCATGCTGTCTAAAACAGGAGTGTTACAGATGAGGTATTAACTTAGACCCAGCCCAGCAGCTATTCCCAGAGTAAGCAAAGCAAAGGGTGATGAGTAATTTCACCAAATGCAAAAACCCTACCCACTTTCTGCATCCTATACTCAGGCGGTAAGGAATCCGGATTTATTACTTCCCACTCTCACCAATGATTTCCTGGTCCCCTCCTGTTCTGGGGTATCAACAGTACTTATCGCCAACTGCCCATCCCCCGTTAACCCCATGCCAGAAAGAAAAAGCATATACGCACCTTAAAATCTGTATTATTGATATATTCAAATACCAAAGCTGGGGTCTTTGACTGCAAGAGAGAATAGTAATGCCTTATAAGTATTCAAACAGTAAACGTGCTCTGCTTCTGTCGTACCGATCTATCCCCAAATCCCACTTAAATGAAAAGGGGATTCACTCATCAGGGAGAGCCTATTAAGAAAGTGTCCTCTTGAGACTATGTGTCTGGAATTTGCTTCAAAATAAGTGCGGATAGTGGGTGGTGGGAAAGTGGGCGGCAGGGAGATGAAAAACAAAGTTGGCCACGAGTTGCGGCACTGCTCAAGCTGACTGATGTGTGCAGGGAGGTTCACTATCTTACGCATTTTACTTTTGTAAATGGCTGACATTTTTCTTAAGTTGTTTTTTTTGTTTTGTTTTGTTTTAAAGGAGATGTATTCTCTGACCAACCTGTCAGTGGGCCTGGCACATTATTTGAAGAATTACACTCTGCAGTATTCCAGTCTGCCAGCCACAAAAGGAGTGACATGTTTTCATCTTGGTTTGGCAAGCCAGATGCATTTTACAGAATTATCCTATGTCTTGGGAATCTATCATAGGCCTTTTCAGGATCCAAAAGGAAAGTATCTATGATTATCAATCAGCAGGCTATAATGTGAAATTACTGCCTCGGCTACATACCACTAGAGAATGTCTCAATTTACAAAGTAGATGTGATCCCCCTCACCCCCAAATTATACATAACCAAGTATTTCTAAAGTGCTATAATCTTTAATGCAGTGAGTACAAAATGTCTAATATTTCCTTGTATAAATTTTTCGAATGCCAGATTTACTTAAGTAAGGTAAAATAATGCTCATTAACAGTAATAGGCTTTCAAAATTAGGAGAAAAGCAGGGCCTTAAAGGGTTACAGAAAATCACCTTAGAAATCTTTATGGCTAGAAAGTTTTGCTCAAGGAAGCAGGTAAAAGTTCCCTAGAAACAGGGCACAGTATGTGCACATGGGGCTTTGTCAGAAAGAGCAGCAGTCCCAGCAGCACTGGTCAGAGGGTTCCTCACTAGCCTGAAGGGGACAGGGCTTCATCAAGACCACCAGATCTCTCTACTGCCTGGGAGTGAGGCCATCTCCCTAAAACTTAGGGGAGAAGGAGGGCTCCCTCCATGGTTTTAATCCAATTTTAATTCACTCGTGTTCCATATTATATAAAACACACACATGCCTTAAGCAACACATTACAATATCAGTAAGACAAGTTTCACTAAGTTCTAGTAACTTAAAGGCAAAGTGCAGAGGTCGCTGGTACAACAGTAATATGTACTGGGTCACGCTGCAGGCTGTTTTCAGTGATGATGGAGTCCAGAGTTAGTCATTCTAAAATGAATCCAAGCTCCTCAGGCTGGGATATATTTTTAATGGCAATAAGCTAGAATCTAGCATACAAGCACTCTTCTCAGTCTTCTTAGGGTCCCGAAGGCAAAATTTTCCTGATTCTTCGGTTTAACGATACTGTGTGATCTTGAGCAAATCACCAAACCTCAGAGCCTTCAGCTGTCCTATCTGCACAGTGTAACAATGTGGCCAATCACAGCACCGACTCCAGTGGACTGCTGAGGACGGTCCTGAGGTCCAGAACAGTGCCCAAACACAGTAAGCGGTCAGCGCATGTTCACTAGCGCATCGTTTCTTTATGATGTCTTCAGCAGACAGAAGCAAAGACCTACTTCTTCAACGAACAGCCAGCATGGGAGGATAGGAAAACAGGTGAAGTAGAAGAGATGAAGAACAGAAATGGGATGGGAGGTGGTACATAAACACTCTGGCTAATCACCTCCCAAAAAAACAAAATTAAATAGCACATCTAAGAGGGCTACAAAGTAAGCATTTTTAACAAAAATATTTAGTTGTATCAGAATATACAACATGAGCCCCAGGGGTAGACCCTGAATTAAATTCTAGTAGGAGAAACAGCAAGATGCCTTCCTCAAAGGGTCTGTGGGGTTGTGATCTCTATGCCAGGTGTCCACGTGGAGATATTCGGTATTTCCCTCCGTAAGCCCAGACTTTCAGATGTCAGGCTTAATGAAGTGAAGCAAAATAAGGCCAACTAGAGGCAATAAGCTTTCAAAATTGGGAGAAAACTAGGGGCTTAAAGAAGACATTTAGCAAACATTTGTGGGCTGAACCGGAACAAGGTAATAAACTGGGATAGGGATTTTTCTATACATACACTTTTAGGTTTCATAAAAGTGGTGGTGGCTACTTCATCTTTGGGCCACCACGGTTTTTTCTGGCTTTCAAAACTATTCAGGAGTAGAAGATGAACACAGTCATTCCCAATACGTAATGGTGTTTCTCATTATTCTGACATTCTGTGTCACACCACGCACACATTCACGCACTCACTTGCTCCTTCTCCCCCAACCGTCAGGCACCTACCACGGGGTCCTTCACAGTGTCAATCAGCTTAATGATATTTGTTCCACCACGAAGGTTCTCCAGAATCTTAACCTCTCGTTTTATCTTCTTTTTCTTCACTGGCTTAAATACACAAGAGTAATCGGAAGTGAGATTCCTTTTGAAGTTAATAAATAAAACCTTAAAACAATGTCAGCTAATCAAGTGGCTACCGGGCTATCTTGCACACCATGTCACGTTAGAGCGTGTCTAAATTAGAAAAGAGAAATCAAGATAAAAATGGGGACTGCCCTTGAGAATGTTTGAGATTAAGTTGAATACAGACTCATACAGCATATGTGTCAGATCTTTAGGTAGTTACATTCAGGTCACTCACAAATTTTGAACACCCATGTCATACTTTAAAAATAAAATGCCTAGATAACTGCCAAATGGAAGGCATGCATTATAGCTCTGAACAGCTGTATATCATGCACTTGCAAATGGAAAAACTGAAACAAAATGGTGAGACACCTGCTCTTCCAATGAGTTACATGTAATTTTGTCTTCCAGGAGCGAAGACCAGTTCACTGACATCAAGTTACAAACTTGTTTCCCAGCTGCTGGCTCCCATTTCCTGTTGCCACTCCCATTTCCTCAACATCTAGAATCTGAAATCAGCACAGACCTACTAAAACTCCCCAACACATCCCACTCCTAAAGAAAGAGATGACGGAGCAGCAGAGGAGAAAACGGGTATCTGATCCAGTACCGACTGGAAACCTCTGCTACTCGCTAACCTTTCCATCTGCTGGGTAGCAAAATTAAAAATCGCAATCAGAAATACTAGCATTACATGTGCTATTTCTTGTCTTGAAGAATTTGAAGAATGTAAACAGTTCTGGAACAATAGTCACATCACAATTACATTTTACAAAGTACTCAGAACACTTAACTGGCATGTAGTAAGCACTCAATAAATGGAAGCTTGATTATTTTCATGTATTTAGTTAGTAACAAACCACAAAATTCCTATGTAGTGGACTCAGCCTAGCTGAACCATTTGCCCAAGGTCCCACAGCTGATGGTGAAGGGTGGGGGCAGGATTCAGATCTAGACAGTGCCTCTGTAGGCCTCCCTCTTGGCCACGCTGCTCTCATTTCCCAAGTGTGGCTAGGAGACAAAGGGAACTGGGGAAAAGGAGTATTCAATCACCGAGACACTAGACACTGTTCTGGTAGCACGGGTAAAGAGAATCCAATGGGTCTTCAATGAAGTAAGATTTTAAAAGCCTGCATGTGTGTGCTGGTGGTGGGAGGGGAGAGATATATACATATGCCAGAGACATCGTCATCTTTTGTTGGTCACTAAGCTACAGCTCTGCACACATAACAAAACAGAGGGAGATTATGAAACACAGAGCACCTGCATCACCTCTAACGGGGTGTTTGACTGACAGGCTGAAATCTGGCTGCATTCTTCCAAGCCAGCTGCCACACTCACGTCCACTGTGCTTTGTCAGGGTTTGCGGGAGAGTAGATCTAGCTACTGTGTCTCTCACCCACTTCCACTTAGGAATCGTACTCATTCCCTTTTTCATAATTAGGGAGCTCAATACTTTGGGGGAAAGCACTTGAACATGAAGTACAACTTGATAAAAACAAAAACAAAAACAAAACAAAAAACAGCCAGAAAAGGACATACTACAAAATAAGTAAGCTTCAAAAATGTCAACGTCAGGAAACAGACTGAACAACTGTTCCAGATTAAAGAGACACGACAACTGAAAGTAACACATGACCTGGGATTTTCTTTTGCTATAAAAACATTATATGGACAATTGGCAAATGAGAACAGGGGCTGCAGATTAGCTAACAGCACTGTATCAATGTTAGTTTCTGATTTTTGATCATGGCACTGTGGGGTTACATAAGAATTGTCCTTGGTTTTAGGAAACGCATACTACAGTAGGGATCACTGCAATTTACTCTCAAGCACATAACTACATGCGTTTATACACACACATATGTGTGTTTATATATAAGAGAGAGAAAAGCATAAAGCAAATGTTAACATTTGAGAAATCTGGGTGAAAGACATATGGGATTTCTTCTTTTCTTTAAACTTTTCTTTAAAGCTGAAGTTATATCAAAAAGTTAAAAGAAAAATAAAAGCTGGCTACTGTATCTATAAATTCAGCCAATGCTACCAGCATATTCAATGTAAGAAAATTCTAGAGTTGGAAAGCAGTTACAGATCTATGAGAGTGGTCGCAGAGGAAAAAACACCCCACAGCCAGAGAACTGTGTACACCAAAAACCTTCCTCTCCCCCTAACAGTGAATTAGTACAGGGGTAACCCACTAAGTTGCCTTTATGACAATGCCCCATATAAAGCCTTGCTTTGCCTTCCTGTTAGTCAGCAACAGGTCAGGCAGGGACATGGTTCCTGGACAATGCCACTAAGATTTAGATATCTCTCATGATGTCCTAAGGTAACTTATGGAGCAAGAGAACGTATTTTGCTACTCAACTGTCACCTGTCCAACAACTTCCTCACCTAGAAGACTGGGGACAGCAGGGCAATTCTGAGGTGGCACAAGAGACTCTCACAGCACCTGGAATCCTCACATCCTGACAAATGACCAAGAGATCATTAAAAAGGAAAAGGGACCTACAACCCAGGACATTGCTCCAAAGCATGGACATCCATTCTCTACAGGAACCAGGCCACAGGGAACTTCTTTTTGCTGCAAGCTTATTCCTCTGAACCTGGGACATGCTTTAGAAGCTAAAAAAACCAATGAGCTCCCCGGGAATGAAAGTGATCATTTTAAAGCTGTAAACAGAATGAGAGAGAAAAGGTTAGACTTTATAAAGGAAGACCCTTCACATCTTGTGGAAAACAGATCATGGATTTTATAGAAAAAAAAAAAAATGCTTCGAGACTGTAGCCCAGTGTTTGCATTCATCCACCTGCAGCTACACAGAGAAAATACGCACTTCCCTCACAGTCTCATCATTTCATCCTGCTAGACAAAGTCTCTTCCAGTTATGGTTTATTTATTCCAATTCAGAGAATATGTTTAAAAAGATTCAAAATGAATCAGTTTAGAAATGAATCAGTTTAGTTGTTTCCCAATATTCTTTTTAACTCAAAGTCTAGAAGAGAAAAATGGCAAAAAGCTAAAAAAAAAAAAATAAAAGAAATTAAAGTATTAAATCAAGTTTCAATAATAAATGAATTATGGTGCACACCTAGAGAGAACGTTTAAAAGGGAAAAAACTCAATTTGAAATTTTCTGTGCATGAGCTCAGAAAAGGAAGGAAAAGGGAGAGAGGGAAGGAAAAAACAAGAAAGAGAGAAAGGAAGAGAAAAAGAGGGGGTGAAAGGAAGGAACTTTCCCAACCGTTTCTGCCCACATGGTAGAGAGTCCCAGTGATTCAGGACAACCTTGTTCAACATAATCCAAAAATTAAGACTACTTCTTTCTCCCTATTGACCAACACTGAAAAACTTAGAAGACAAATTTAGTGATAGGTTGCTTAATTAATGAAGTCAATGATCTGTCCTATTTACTTAGGGCTGATTTTTAAAAAGCCAGATCTGAGAATGATTTCAACTACTAGCATTTGATTGTGATTGAATTTCTGAACTAACGTATACACAAGGCTTAAGAATTAGGACCTCAATAAATCCCAGCAAATGTTAAGAGGCAAAGTCCCATTTTCATTTCTTTCTAAGCACAACTGAATTAATAAATTCAAGACAGGCGGAAGGTGGTTCAGAACTTGCAAATCTGGAACTACTCTGATTCCAATGCCACAGTGACAACTGAGAGACTAGTTTCATCGCCTACAGTAAACAATCACAATGAACACCGGTTGCCAGGGATGTGGGACAGAGTAAGAAAGGAAAGTTCAGCCTGGATGATAGCATTTATTTTATCACCTTGAGGCATCCCTCAAATCCACTGCAACTGACCCAAATATAAACATTATCTGAGCGGTGTCATTTCTTCACAGCAACTTTTCTCTTAGTCTTTCAAGTCCCTTTCCAATTACGTTATCGACTCCTTGAGACTGTTTTTCTCGGGGGGGGGGGGGGGGGGGGGGGGGGGGGGGGGGGGGGGGGGGGGGGGTGTGTGTGTGTGTGTGTGTGTGTGTGTGTGTGTGTGTGTGTGTGTGTGTGTGTGTGTTTTAATTTAAAAAAGCAAGGCATACAGCAGGCCTTTTGAATTTCATCGAGAGAATGGTATCGTCTTTTCTACTCCTGGTTTTGCCCTCTGAAATCATTCATGTAGCCCAGCTGAAATACTGTTATTAGAACCATATTTTATTGCTTTCTAAGTGCAGGCACTGTTTTAAGTACATTTAATCCACCTCTAACAATATTCTGAGAGGAGTTCCTATTGGCGCAATTTTACATGAGGACGCTGAGGCAGAGTTTAAATACCTGCTCAAGGTCACAGAGTTGCCCAGTGTTGGGAAAGCCCATATGAATGCAGGCAGTCTCCTTCCAGGGCCACTTTTGGGAAAGGAACACTGTGTAGATGACTAAAACACTGTCATGTACCTACCCATATCTCCTGAACTAATCATTTAATTCTACCAACAACCCTGTGAGTTCCACAGGAAATATATCCATTTTATAGATAGGAAAACAGTCAAGCGGGTATAAATGAGGAAGCTGGTCTAGAACCCAAGTCTCCTGCCCTCCATTTATAGCAATTCTTAACACTATACTGCCCTCGTGATGAGGTGGCAGATCCTAAAATCAGGCTCTAGAAACTATCCACAGCCATGCTATACACATAAAAATGGGTCCTCTATGCCAAGATCCTTTTTTTACACATGGCTCACTCTCCAACAAACTCTAATATATTAGAGGGATAAAGCTGTTAGCCCCGAAATCTGGCAAGTTATCACGATGAGGGAACTGTATGGGTTAATAAAAGTGTAAAAGCACTGGTTATTGTGGCTTCAAACCAACAAAGTAACATTTCACAATGCATTCACCAAGCTGCTGCAGACTCAAACCAGAGAGCCCCTGGCTGGGTCCCTGTAGCTCTCTGGGTATTCATCTATTCCGTACTCCATCTAGTACCCATCCAGGTCAAGCATTTCCTAGAAGAATAAGTCCCCAAAACCATTAGAAACAAATTCACTTGACTTCTAGTGAATGTTTATCCACCTTTCCAGCATAGTTCAATACCTCAAAAAGTCAAATATCCAGCAAATGTCATTAACTGCTCCTCACAGCTACAAGATTCCATGAGAAGGACAGAGGACCCTAGTGCTTTCACCCCCTAACCATGTGACCCTGAGCAAACTGCGTGCTCTGGGTCTCAGTTTAATCTGTAAAAAGGGTTTGGGTTCTAAGGTTTCTCTGCTCCCTTATTTCGTGATTCTGTTTCACCACACTCTCAAGCTCAGACCTTACAATCACAATATTGGAAACAGCACTAGGGGCCCCTGGGTGGCTCAGTCGGTTGGGCATCCGACTCTTGGTTTCAGCTCAGGTCATGATCCTGGGGTTGTAAGATGGAGCTCCACATTGGGTTCTGCACTCCATGGGGAGTCTGCTAGAGATTCTCTCCCTCTGCCCCTCCCCAACCCTACTCCCGCTTGCACACATGCGTGCTCTCTCAAATAAAATAGAATCTTAAAAGAAACAGCACTGACTAGTTCACACAATTTTTAAAATTTGTATTATTTGATGTTAGTAACACTTTAATAATACAATTTTAACTACTTTTATACCATAAAACATTTGTAGGAATGAAAAAGAATCACAAAAATTTTAGAAAAATCAATACTAATGTTTTGCTTCAGGAAAATGACATCTTGGCGTACTTGTCTAACAAAGTACCTTGAGGGAAAACACCTACCACCGGAGAAAGCAGAAATACAAGAGAAAGCCCAGCACCACCATGCGTGAACATCACTCTGATATGACCTAGACAGTCGCCTGCTTGCTCTGAAGTAACCCCACAAGACAGGTCACTGGCAGGCCTCCCATCCTTCTTTTCCCACCACTTCCTCACCGCACAACATTTAAGAAACAGCTACAAATATGCTAAGCACACTTAAAGAGTAAACTTATATTACCACCATTCTTTGTTTTAATTTGTGGATTAACCGCTGGGGGGCAAAATGGACTTATCCAACTCTTCATAAGACTACCTTATACTGTCTTGCATGAGAATTTCCAAATCAGGGCAGCATGGGTTCAAAACACTGTACACGTTTATTTAAAAATGGTATTGCTCTTAACTTCTACTTAGGAAATAGGAGTTTTCACTTGAAGGAACACAAGAACAGCTGAAATCCATACATAGGTGGTGTCCACAAAATGCTACAAGTTGTCCAAAATGGCCAAATGCTTTTATTTCTGTGTATACCCTCCTGAGTGGTACTACAAAGGAACTGAGCAATGGACTTTTCAAAATCAAAAGATGAAATTTTCAGCACCGAAGTAACTCTCTCCCCTCCTATGTTAATCCTTCCCACCCCCTCCCCCTTTTTTTTTCTCCTTAAAACAATTTTGGCCAAAAAAGATATAACCTTCCTATTGATTGGAACATTTTAAGATTTCAACCTCACAATTTCACTTCAAAATAGAGAGTAAAATTTTGCTCACCGACTTCTAAATTGCTAAAACCTTTAAAGAGTTCCAATGTGTTTTGACCAAAAAAATCTACAGCTGCAAATTAAATGAGAGAATTCTGTGGTCATTAATTCATGTGACCATTCTCTTTTACAGGAAAGAACTGAAGGAAAATGTTATTGACCAAAAAGGAAGACAGCCCTGTCTTTAAGGAATATACCTTCTCTCTCAGCCACCGTGTGTATGTGAGTACCCTTCCTGCAGTTAAAGTACAGTAGTAGGCCTTTTATGAAGAGAGCTTTTTTCTAAATTCCTCTGAATTATAAGCAGCTGGAACTCTGTTAAGGGCCTAATTTCCTATGACCAAACACTGTAACAAAAGATATTAGTCATAACTTATCTGAACAGGGGCAACAACTTGGGATCAAGACACTGTCCTCTAAAAAAAAAAAAACAAACAACCAAAAAAACCCCAATACTTTTAATCCACTTTAATTCAGCCTGTGAAAGCGAGAAAACCACAATATCATTAGTAGTTTCTTACCTATCCTTCAGCTAAAACAAAATCTAGACAAAAATGCCACAGGGCTTAAAAAAAAAAAAAAAAGAAGTGAGGGTGGTTTTCACCAGTGGTAATGAAGTTGGTTCAGGCTGTACCCTGAAAAGAACTTGTATGGAAAAGATACAAGAATACTTCATTAACTAGAGCATCAAAGGAGCCTTCCAAATCTTATTCCAGAACACAGGACCTTATTCTGAGGATCTTACAAACCCACATTAAAATGAGGGGAGAGAGAGAGAGAGAGAGGAAGAAATAGGAAACAGGAGTTCTGGCTAAGGGTCATTTTAACATAGTGGTATCAGGTAAGTAAGTTTTCCTGTCCTTAGGTTTCTTGCCTGTAAAAGCAGGCTTCCATTTTGGGTTCCCTAAACATATCCTGTGAATCTCCAGGGGGAAAACTATCCAGGAACGGATGCTATGAAGATCTCTAGAAGGAAGACTAAAGAGCAATGCGATGTTCTCTTGAATAAACGTACTTTCACTTACATATATACCTAAAGCCATTCCTCCAATGGACAGGAAGTTACACACTTATTCTAAAAATGCTGCTACTGCATAAAAGTTTAGTATTTTTCTGAAATTGTTCTGGAGTCAGCACTTCATTCTTTCAAATGCACAGCAGTGGAATACGGATATTCCTAAGTTCAATTTATGCCTTGCTCACTCCTAGAAAGATTTAAGCAGCTTATATTAAAAACATTTATGCTTATGTATAAAGGAAAAAAATCATATGGTGACTTCCCTGAAGGGAACATTTCTTTAAATATTTATACTTGTAAAGAAAAAAAAAAAAGACCATGTGACTTTTTAAGTCCAATTCACATCTGGGGAAGAGGGGAGTCAAACTCCCCATCTTCAGTATCAATTCCTCACTTCTCACTCCAGTGCCTCTGACGGCACAGATAACTTTGCCTACTTCTCTCTACTTCAACTCTGCTTCTTCAACACTGGGCTCAAATGGCACTGAGTAACAAAGCTGATCACTTTTCTGAAAACTGATTTTCAGACAGCGTAAGCCTGACCCCTCATACTAAACAGGGACACAGCTACCCTAACTCTGTCCTTAACACACAAAAACAGCTCTCCAATCCCACATCCTTATTCACTGAGCCTCTGCAAAATGGCCACATTGGATATCTTGTATATGCAAAAGTGTTTATATTAATCACTCTTTAGTCTTTTCGATATTTCACTAAATGACATGTGCACACATTAAGTGATCTGGCAACGATGAAGACCCTTCACAGATTCTAAGAATTACCTTTTTTTTTTTTGTACACCCTATAAAACATTATTAAAGTTATCCAACCAGTTACCTAAAGGAGAATTTAGCCAACTCTTCATGCTCATTAAGATCATGTCTTCATGGGGCACCTGGGTGGCTCAGTGGGTTAAGCCACTGCCTTCGGCTCGGGTCATGATCTCAGGATCCTGGGATCGAGCCCCATATCGGGCTCTCTGCTCAGCGGGGAGCCTGCATCCCCCTCTCTCTGCCTGCCTCTCTGCCTACTTGTGATCTCTCTCTCTCTCTCTCTCTGTCAAATAAATAAATAAATCTTAAAAAAAAAAAAAAAAAGATCATGTCTTCACCAAAAAGACCATAAAAGACGTATCTTTATTAAACTCAAGCAGACTACACCAGACACTAAGACTGTTTGTTCCAAGTATTAATTTTAGTGATTGTAAGTGTACTCCTTACTGCTCCCAATTTCACTTTAACTACTTGATAAGCAACAATGAACCTTCTGCACACTACTGGATCGCCGTATCCAACCCCACCTGACACACTCTTACTGCCAAAGAGAAGAAACAACTGATCAGCCACTGAGGGGTTTCCACCCAAGCTTCAAACTCATCTCTGGAGCTCCTCTCATTTCTTCCAGCTTTCTTTCCGGAATAATTTCTAGCACCAAGGGTAACAAATCCCACGCTCAAGGAGCCCCTCAATTGATAGGATCTTCACTGGAAAAGGTTTTCTTTCATCTGAATCCCTATCTCCTGTTTTAACAAATGGACCCTTTGGAATTTTCACTTTGGGAGCCACAATGACATTTCAGAACAAGTATGTTCCCGAACGACCGTGCTTAGATTTGAAACAGGTCTACGGATGTACTTCAAAGTTCACAGGAAAACGGGTGGGAAGAGTAGTTAGTGAAGGGACATCAGACAGAATCATATGTGAAATGAGACCTTGCACTGCTCGTTCTACAATGCGGCTGAAGTTTACGTCCGGACCAGTGAACCACATTTTTAATGCCACTCATAAGACACTCACCTTGAGAATTTTTACAACCACTCTCTCATTGTTGGTGATGTTAATGGCCTCAAATACTTCACTATACTTTCCCCGACCAAGTTTTCGAACCAGTTGGTAATCATCTTGATTACTGTGAAAGGCAAGAGTGACACATAAATGCCAGGACTTGGGATTAACCAAGCCTATGCCCACTATACACCCCCATCCAGCCACTTCCATTAATCAACTGTTGGAAGCGTCTATACATCAGGACACGACTCATTCCCTAAATGAAAGTCACAACATAAAGTTGGCTCCTTTCACTCCGCGCACAGCTCCTAACCTAATTGGTCCACCACAACTTGGGGAGCAGAGGTAGGAAGGCACGGCTCTGAGCCAATCTAGAAGGGTGAGCAAAGCATTCATCGTGGAGGCTCAGAGGGTGCCCCGCTGCCTGGGGCTCCACAGCAACCGCCTTGTATTTCACACCCCAAAGGTACCAGCGCCTGCTTTGGAAATGTGGATGTCTTTAAAAGATTTCCTCCCACCCAGCCTCATTTCAAAAAACTAAAAAGGCAAGAGAATTTTAATAGCTCCAGAGGACAGCTGCTGACTGCCCACCCCAAACAGAAACCCAGAAGTGTAAGGAGGAAGGGCTGCTCCCTCATTTCCAGCAGGCTTCAGTCCCTGGACCTTACACTTCTCAGTAAGAAAGCATTCCTTGGGTAAGGGGGAGAGAGGGGTGCGCAAGGCGGGGAGAAGGGGAGACAGAGAGAAGAGGACATGTGCGGCGGGCGGCGGGGGAGGGGGCTCTGCTTCCTACCCCAGACCCGAGAAAGCGCCGGCCAGCGGCGGGGCGGAGGGGAAGGCAGACCGCGGGGGGGGGGGCCAGTGCGGTTGGCGCGGGGGGGCGGGGGGGGGGGGGGGGGGGGAGGCGGCGGCGGCTTTACCCCCAGCTCGGGACGTGAGCCTCATAGTCCCAGTACTCGCGGCTCCTCAGGCTGTTCACCTCGGCGTAGACCCGGGCCCTGCTGCCCGCGGCCGGGCCGGGCATGGCGGGCGGGACCGGGGGGCGCCGCGGGGCGCAGAGGGCGGCGGCGCGGCGGGGGGCGCGGGGTGGCGGGCAGAGGAGGCGGCGGGCCGCGGGGCGCCGG